GTAACTAAGTTATCGAGAAAAACAATCTACCCTAACAAAAGTCTATTTTGTTGATTTATTTATGTAACCAAAATGGTATTTTTTTCGTATACACGTTACTTAGCCGATGTCAGGATATTATTTTTTCTTTCAATTGGAGTTTGGCGCAACTGCAAAAACGAATACATGTACATCTTCTAGTTCTATTGCTAAAATGAGAGTCAGGCATGGTGGATCGATCGAACAAGGACATGTACATGTGAAACGATCATGGGTCAAAGTTAAAAATACCACTGTGCAATCGTGACAAAAAAAACACGCACGACGGGCGACGCACGACGGCAGATATGGAATTCCATAGGTTTGGGTGGCTTGTTCTCGTTTGTTCACGAACACCTTCACTTCTCTTTCATTTTTACAGTGTTATAGTGGATGGAGGCCTCTAAAAAGCATAGCTTGTCTCGTACCCCCAGTTATGTTTATACATACATGTATATGAAATACCTGTCACAAGTAACACCTCAATATGTTGTTTGTGGGTCGGCCGCTCGAACGTAGGGCCACAACCGGTTTAATTGCTGGCAAGCAACATGCAACACGGCGGTCACGTACTACATCATTCTTCGAGGTTTAATAGGGAGGTTTAGATGTACGTACGCCAGCGTGAACGCGAACGTGACAATTTGTTTGAAAGTTTAGATGCGCATCCCACACAAAATGTCCATTTTCCAATGAATACTCAAATAAAAGGACAAAATGATCTATCGCAGCCGGTAAATCTCTCAAAAGACGAGTAATCGGTCATCATAAACCAAGCATGAACAAATCCCAATTGCATAGCCTTTGCACTTTCCAAAGATGTCAATTCTATATCAGCTAATGTTCACCGCATAATTTTAAACCTTCCGAAAAAGTTGCAGTTTCTCACGCTTTGATCCAACGTGAACTTCTCATTCACGTGTGGGGCGTCCGTGCGAACTACCCATACGTGCCGGTTATGCCAGAGACAATACGCACGAAGCACTGACGTCAGCAAGAGTCCACACTTTTGTTGCATTCGCGTTCACGTATAACGTGAAGAAATTGTGATCTTATGGAAGAATGACCCAGAATGAACTCCCTAGACTCAAGGGCTCCCATTGTAGGGCGAAGCATAGAAAAATGCTGCTGAAAAATTGTCCCAAGTGCCAGAAAAAGTGGAGGGATGTCATTTGAAAAGTGGCCGCTGACAAACTTAGGAACGTTCACTTTTGGGGGGAGGTGAGTTTGTTTTTGGTGAATAATTAAAATGTCGTTGGTTAACCTACTAAAAATTGAAAATCAATTGAAAGCTAAACGACCCTAGAACACTTTGTTTGTTTGTTTGTTGGGTTGTTTGTTTGTTGGGGTGTTGGGGGTGTTTGTTTGTTGGGGTGTTGGGGTGTTTGTTTGTTTGTTTGTTTGTTTGTTTGTTTGTTTGTTGGGGTGTTGGGTTGTTTGTTTGTTTTTAGATGCCTGAGGGTCTTCGGTTGCCTGCACCCGGGCTGCAAACTTGGTCGAATTTACATTGTCCTCAATGGGGCTTCAATTAGTTCAGCGCACCCCCATACTACTCATGTTGTGAGTTTGAATCTGATACCCATACTCAAATCACCAATTTTTAATCTGATTTACTAAAATTACTTCTGGGAGCAAGACGTACCGGTTGCATGCGGCGCTAGCACGACAACGACGACGTTGCAGCTATCTCACTAACTGGCGCGCTGTCTAATTGTGAGTCGTGAGGGGGCGCATTATGCACGGTGTCCGCTAACAAGCACTAACGTCTTGAAACCAAGACTAGCTAGGGACCAAAGCGCGGCGCTATAGCTGTACGTACGTACAGGGATGTCACGTCGACGTCCAGCTCGCGCGCTCGCGGATGCAGCTAGCAGCAGAGATCAGGCAGACGTTATTTAATATCTAAGACCATGGAGACCAGGACTGTATGAGTTGCGGTGCCGCTGTTGTTCTGAAGCTGCGTAAACACTAGTTTTGGCGAACATGGGTAGCACAGCCACGGATGTATCCTCTGTTAAAGTTGTTATTATTGGGGGTGGACTGGTTAGTAAACTTCTGTTTTGATTCCAAGTTTCCTGGGCGCAGGCAGCATCTAGGAAAGAGTTCAACTATGGACGAAGGAAAATCGTACATGTATGCATGGTATGCGGACGCGTACTACAAGTAGTGGGGGGGGGACTAGGCCCAGGCCTAGTACTGCGTTAACCTACATCGTCAGATTGTGACTGGACAAGACATCCCATGCATATTAATCCTTTGATTTGGAGACTGTCTAAAAAATTCAAAGTGTTCTTTTAAGTCAACGACTGGGTATTTTCCCTCCTGAATTGAACTTTTCTGGACATGTTTTTGCTTTCTGATAGTTCACTCTCAGACCTGCAGACTTTTGCCTACGAAATACGGGGTTCATAACCTTTAGCTCCCTGTTCCTATTACATATATATGGGAACAAATTGTCCTTTTTTGAAATAACCTATTTTAACAAGTTCTTTGCGATGCCCTCTTACATATTAGAAAGAAAAGAAAACAGGGCTTTTGGTTTTTGAGGGAAATTTTGGGGTAAAACGGCAGCATTCTGCAAAGAGCTGTGAACGACAAATAAGCGAATGTAGTCTGGTTCCTTGACCTGGATGGAGATTTGTTTTGATGAATCCAAAAAGCCTGAGTCAGGTATCCAGATGAAAAAGAAAATGGCATGATTCGTCGACTGAATGGTTGTGTTTTGCCAAACTCGGGTTAGAAATTTGAAGTTTTCTTGCTTAAATATTGTCAAAACTTACCTAAACTAGGCCTATCCGGATTGAGTAATGGTTCCTTAAGGTCAAAATGTTAATTAGTGTGAGAAAGTGGACTTTGTTTCCTTATTATAGGAACAGGGTGCTAATGGATATGAATCCCGAAATACGTGCCTACCGGTTCGATATGCACAATATGGTGCTCTTCATGCCGAGTGACAAGAAGCAAGTAGGGCCTAGGCCTAATGCCAGCCTACATGTATAAATACACAGGTGTAGGGCATATAAGCCCATTCGGTATTTCATTCGCACATGGCCTTGGCAACTGGCCTTGACGAACCTTTTTTGGATAAACAAGCCATGCTCCATAGCAATGCACATGTTCGCACCTACTATTTTTTTTGACTTGCTATTCTGGTTTGGATTTCTCCGAAAGTAAAAAAAAGACATTCTGTGGTGTGCCTGGGCAGTTTTGGGATATATATGAAAGGTGAATGAAGAACCCCCTAAATATTTCTTTTAAAAATTCATGTTAAGTGCAGAAAGTTGAAAAAAATGAACCCTTACTCATTCGAATGCCAGGACTATGCTATACTGTACCGCTGGCTATGCTATGTGGGTTTGTTTATCTAATTTTTATCCCACAATCCCTTGTGCGCCCGAAACTATGACCTGGTTTATTCAGTATTCCTCCATGCGTAATACCTTGAGGGCCGGCATCGGGCACATGTTACCCCCAGAACTGTGGGGTCCGAGCGCAGCCGACAGCGCACCCCTGAGATTTAGGTTTATGCTTTGATCTGTAGAGGTCCCCTCTCCCTGTCGCTCTGGATAGAAAAGGATTAAAAAATTGAGTAAATCATAAAATAAAAAATAAAAGTGTAAGTGACTGCACGAATACCATTGTCAACAATGAATGTCACATACATGTAATGTTTCACCATCGTTTCCGCTCGTCTCAAAAGATGAGACATAAAAAAATGTCCGGCTTGAACCCCCCCCCCCAACGAAACTGGATCGGCCTCTACTTATGTCCTTCCAGTACTTGGGCCATATTGGACATGCCAAAATTAGGAAAACAAGGCAAGAACTGGCTTGAGGTCCAGTATGCAAGTTCTATGAATGTCTTAGCAGGCCTCATAATTGTAGTGCAGTGGTAGATCCAGAGCTTATAAGAAGAGGTGGCACCCGGCTGAAGGGGGTGCCGTAAATGGAATGGTTGTTTTTAGTGATAATTTTTGTCCTTATAGGGATTAGATTTAAAACAAGGGGGGAAAAGGAAAGGCGTCTCCCTCTAAAATGAAATTTTAAAAAATGAGGGGAGGGGCTTGGAGGCATGCCCCCTTCTAGATCAGCTTCTGCTGGTGTGTATGGTGCCGTCATCATTCTGTTATGATGTTGGAAAACAAGTAGCTGTTTTATTGTATAAAAAATTCATAAATGGAAGATCTGTGCTAGTCAGGTGTGGGAAGAGCACTGGGTATAAGGGATCAAATATAATCTTTCCAAGGTGTTTTTTTTTCTTTTTTAATTGAGGAGATGAACAAACAAATTGATTGGAGTGAGATTTGAACCTGCGACCTCCGGAATACCGTACCGGAGTACTACCAGCTGAGCTATCCAGCCCTGCATCGGTGGCTTTTCCCATTAGTCAATTATGTTAGTTCAAGGACGCCAGTCAGAAGTCGCGTAACCTGAAACACTGTATAGCCACAGATCACACCCGAATTGTACACGATACAACCTGGGAAGTGGTTTGTTCCCTATACAGTTTGTTCCATGATCTTTTTAATTGAGATGACAAAGTTCACCTGTCCCTAAAGAGGGATGGGGTTCGTGCCAGGTGCAAACCCCCCACCCTGTGGGGATCTGCCACAGACTGAGACTTTATTAAACTCTCATTAAAGAGAGACAAGCAAGGGCATTGGTCATTTGATTGTGATTAAATACATCAGTTAATCCTTTGGTTAAATAAATTAATACATGCACCATAAATTAAACAGTCTTTATGATAATTTACTGATTTTCATATTCATGGCCTTTATTGGCAGGTTGGAGCACTGGAGGCTATTTTTATGGCCAGGCGGGGTTTCCAAGTGGATTTGTACGAGTCCAGAGAAGGTATGCTACACCCTCACATATATGTATGCAGGAAAAAAATCAAACAGTGTTCTGAGAGTCTTTTGTTCTTAGGTCTTGAAATAAAAGGGCCTGCGGTATGAATGGAAATATTTGTTAAATTTACTAAACGTTTCTTGAAACTTTCACACCATATTCAAAAGTTTAGCCAACACTTCTTGTGTACATAGCAGGATCGGCATGTTATCTTCTCATACATAAATTGAAAAAGCATCAAATTGCTATTTATTAGTTGTAGGCCATAGTTATTGTACACGTATTCACTGTCTTTACAAATTTGTATCTTTAGTTAAAGACGGAAAATCAGCAATTCAACTCGAAAATACCTGTTAAATATTAGTATTGCACACTCATAACTCACAATGGTAACCCTAACGATCCTCCGACCAACCAAACTCCAACACCAGGATTTGTTAGAATCTCTTAGGTTTATTACTGCACTGGTATACTGGTTGTGTTTTAGGTGGGATTAGGCTTACCGCAAATAAACAGAGTCCAACTGTTTATTTGCACAGTTCGCTGGTGTTGGGATTTGCAAGAATGAGGATGGTTCGTTGTGAATCACTCTAGGGAGTTAGGGTTAGAGAACAGCATAAGTTGAAAATCTTGAATTACATTAAAATGATTATTTTACTACACAGATGAAAGTGTTTTTGAGGCAATAGGAAATGAAAAACTTTCCTTACAGGATACTGTAAGTAATAAATGACATTTCGAAGCACTACATCGTTTCTGCTCATGTCTTGACAGACATCCGCACCTCGGAGCGTGTGATTGGGAGGAGCATTAACCTGGCATTGTCTGTCCGAGGGAGAGAAGCATTGCGATTGGTTGGATTGGAAGACCAGGTAAAAGGATGTAATGTAATGCTTACGACCAGTGGTACGCTAATTAATAGTGCTTCTCGACGTTTGTACAAATCTGGACTTCTGTTGGCTTTGCCGTAAGCTCCTCACTCATTTTGAAACCTTTACTGATGGAGCCCAATGAAGATGCTCCACATGCTGGCATCTCATTCAACAACCTGACAATTCATCCCCGAGCCGTGTACAGAGAGAGTTTGCGATGTGAGTGTCACCATTGCTGGAAACCAACTGTCAGGTGTGTGAACCATTGCAGACGGACAGCTGGTATACAATAACCACACTCTCTACTGTTTCAGAATCACTCGACCATTTTATTTTCAAAACCGGAAGCTGGCACTGCCCTCTCTGCTTACAGCGTTGTATCATCCTGATCTCCTGAGTGCTGAAAGTCTGCCCTGTGTCTGTCATGATGTGTTTTTTGATTTAACCTCAGATTGTGAGTAGGGGTATACCAATGCATGCCCGCCTTATCCATGACGTCTCCGGGAAGAAGTCAGCTCAACCCTACGGAAAAGAAGGCCAGGTACATACATGCAGATGCATTCATGTAGCACAGTTTCCTTTTAACATGCAGCTGGGTCATTCCATGAAGTTGGGGCACAATTTGTGACAGTGTCAATTGTTACATGGATTCCATAAAAATGAACAGCTATTTCCCTTCATGTGGATTCCAAATTGAGATTGTTCACATTGTGTAAGGCTGAATACAGAGGTGTGTGTTATTTTTACAGAGTAAATGACCCACTCCACAGGTCATGACAGGTGGTAAAAGTTGGAGATGTAACAAGTGACACCGTCACAAATTGGGCCCCAACCTCATGGAATGACCCAGCTCTGTAGACATGGGCATGAGGTGCAATGCAAGCAGCTGTCACACCTTTCAACTAACATCATAGCAAACTTTTCCACTGGCCTCATTCCGTACACACTGGTGCATGCTCATGAATACATATGTACTTGTTGATAGGGCTACACATGCGTTCAAAGAGACATGTAAGAATCACAGACGTAAAGGGACCATTCCCCCCCCCTCACCCACCCAAGTCTGTTCCATGTGCCTCTTTCCAAATGCACCACAGCCTAGTTACCAGGTCACGGGGGACATCTCATGTGTTGAAATACAGATGTTATGGGGACCGCAGACGTTATGGGGAGACATTTTGGTTCCCTCAAGGGGGTTCCACCTTTCCCACCAAAAGAAATGGTCCTCTAAACACAGGGAAGGCGTGCCCACACTCTCATGACTGTCCTGCCCATCTCTGACCTACATGTATTCATAAACACTATATACATGTACTTACTGTTGTCTTATGGCTCGTGAAAAAATGTCCTACTTCGTTACTGCAGAGGGGGTCTTGTGCCTAGACTCATACATGTAGTTTCCCCCAAGATATACTCATTACATCTTGTTTTTCATTTGCAGTTCATTTTGTCAGTGGACAGACGGCACTTGAATGAAACGCTCCTGACCGGTGGGTCACACATTGTCTGTCATTAGCAGTTTCAATCTTGATTGATATGTTAGCCCTCTCTTTCAGGGATGTCCTTGGTGTTGAAATCCATATTGATGTACCCTTAATAGGCTGTATGCACTCAAGGAGAAACTCTCACTGGCCCCGTAGTTACGGGGAGCTGCACTCGTGTTGAATAATAGTTAATTTGGGGATGTACAAATTTCTTATAGTAACAAATGTTTGTCCCCGTAATTTCAGCTGAAGTTTAAAAGAAATGAATTTCACATTCATGGGAGTTTGCCATTTCAACCTTAATGTTTGGCTGTCTTTTCATTTTTGTACCCACAAGGGCTTATAATACTTATAATCACATAGTTGAGCTGGGGACGGCAGTTTAGAATAGCGCGATTATACAACCTCTGCCTTCCAATGTCAACTTGACCCGTATCTGGTTTCTAGTGTGCTTGCTAAGGTAGAAGTTAAGGTTCGCAAAAAACCAAAAGGCAATCAGCAAGTTTTTATACACCGATCTGAACAGATCTACTTGTAATTCTATTTTTTTTTTCATTTTTAAGTACCGTAATTTTCGGAATATGAGCCACGGCTTATATATTGATTTTCACGGTAAAGAATGTCTCTGTGGCTTATACGCCGGGTGGTTTGTACCGCAAACTTTGAAGGATAAAATCAGTCACAAAAGTTATGGCCGGGCCATGCGTACCACGTGCAGGTGGCGCAGTCATGTTTTTGTTGGTTGTTGTTTACATATGAAAACTCGAACCTTGGAGAATAAATAAAAATCCAAGTCCAACTGAGTGGCCCTGTATTCTATAGTTGTACCAAAATTCAAGTTGTCCTGATTTCAAGTCGGGAATCCCCCGAGTCTTGGAGTCATGAAGTGTGTACGTATTCTTAAACTGTACTTGCTCTGTCTGGCCACAATTTTTTGTGATTATATTCCTGCTTTTTATTCAATCTCATGGTGTATTTTTTACAGACATATAATCGTATTACTAAGATTTTTTTTATTCTTGTAACCTAAATATTTCTCTCTCCCTTGAAACAAAAATCAACCTCCTCAATGGCGTACATGTACCTTTGTGTGGCAGATCTTTCGTCTTTTTGCCAATTGTGTTTGGCGTGACATGCCACAGAATTTCGGGGTTTTTTCACGTGGGGTTTTCTAATGACAACACTTTCTGTGGTCACGTGGTTATTGAAAAGATTAAATTAAAATTAAATTTGAGGATCTAAAATTCACTTTTTATGGTGACACTCGTTCGCATATTGCTTACTTTTATTAGGATTGCACACGTACGATGGTGTAGTGGAACCATTGATGCACTGTACTTTATTACATGCTGTATTGGTGCTTCAGCATGCAGGAAGATGACCTTCGTGGTTGGATCGCAGTGCGGCTTATACGCTGGTGCGGCTGATACACCGACTCTAAATCTTAAGTTACCGATTTTTGCGTGCTGCGGCTTATACACTGGGTGGCTTATATTCCAAAAATTTACAGTATGTTGTGTTGGTGCTTTGTTGTGCATTATTCATCCCACAGTAGACAGATTATCAGCTGGACGTTCCCATGTTTTCCACCTGGTTGACTTTTTCCTCTTTCTGCAGAAGCTGAGAGGTTCCCAAACATACGTCTGCATTTTTCTCACAAGATGGCACAGGCAGATTTTGACAGTGGAGTCATCTTCTTCACAGAGCAAGTGTTACTATAAATTTAAATATTTTTTCAGTGTAGCTTGTAAAACAATATCTTGCAGATTGAGAAATAGTGTTAACAATTCTTCAATTTCTGATTGTAATGGCAATCATTAAGGCCGTCAGGATTTTAGCCGTCATTTGCCATGTTGGCCAAATGGAAAATGTGTACCGACTTCTGCTATAATCCTGACCATGTTGGCAAGAAGTAAAATTAATACTGCATTTGCAAAAGAAACTGCTGAAAAATTTAAGCGTTTAGCTGAAACTCTCTGTTTTTAAAAATTTGCTTGCTGGCAGGACTATTGCAGTTCTTATTTTTTTTTAGTGAAAGAAATGCTTAAACAAAGTACCATTGAAAAATTAAAAAGTGTGAAAAAACACTTGGAACCTTTGGAGTTGGAGTCTACCGTCAATTCATGAGTTACAGGGAGATCTTGTGAGCCATCGGTGAAAGACCCCCTAGGCCCCTCTTTTTTCACTCTTGACATCCCAGTTCAACTTATCACGGTTTATTACTTGGAGCTTCCTGAGTTGTGAAGACCTTTTGCTGTACTTGATAAAATAGCAGAGCCACCTGGCGGTGGAGAAGATGAAATGGTTAATGGTGAACTGTTGCTTTAATTTAAACTTCTCCAGTAAGGATGGGTCAAAGGTCAAGGCATGCCCGGACCTCACCATTGGCTGCGATGGGGCATACTCCACCACACGACGTCAGATGATGCGCTGTGGGCGCATTAATTTCAGCCAGGAGTACATACCGCATGGATACATGGAGCTGAGCATGCCGCCCAAAGACGGCAAGGCAAGACTACATTGTGTTCTTCCTGAAACAATCGTTATTGGTATTTGGAATTAGCATTGACCCATTGTTGTTCCCCCCTCCTCCGCCACACTGTGCCAGGTTGTCAGGTTTTGATAAGTCATGTTTTCTAAGGCCCACCCTTTTCTAAGGGTGGGAATAAGCCCTTAGCGAGTTAAATTTGAATAAAATCTGATACACTGAGTTATCTGATTGCACATAAACTTGACAATTTGAATTCTCTACACTAAAGACACTATATCTATATCTCATAGCAAGTTTTCGCCCAGCAACCACCATCTCTGGAACGGACTGGTTCCTTTGAGCCCTTCTTATCCATTGGAAACAGTGTATTGTAGCAAGGCATCTCTTATGTAACTAAGCAAAAGCTTGCCCTGAATCATGATGTACAGCAACAGTGTTTTTAGTTTGGAGAATTCACACTGTTATTTCCACGTGAATTTAAAGCACTCAGTGCACCAGATTTTATTCAAATTAACTCGCAAAAGGCTTATTGATCACTTCAGAAGTGACCATATCGAGCATCATAGGTGTGGCTGCCGAAAGTGAGAAAGGAATTAAACCATTGATAGGTCATCAGTACCAGGAACATTCAGTTGCTTTACTCCCAGGGGAGATTCTGAAAGGTTTAACGGGACAGATGAAGCACCTTCAGCCTCAGATTTCGTGGCTGTGTGAGACCTCGTGCAACTCAGCATTATATCACCATTTATCATCGCAGTTTGCCGACAAGGAAAACTATTTGCACATCTGGCCGAGGCATGAGTTCATGATGATCGCCCTGCCCAACCAAGACTGCACGTTTACCTGCACGCTCTTCATGCCATTCCAAAACTTTGAGGAGGTCAACGCTGCTGGGGGACAAGCTCCCTTGGACTTCTTCCGGAAGTACTTCCCAGACGCAATCCCGCTGATTGGGGAGGAGGCCATCTTAACAACTTTTGAGGAGAGGCAGGGCCTTCCCATGGTGTCAGTCAAAGTAAGTTTGCTTCTCCTGGAAAATTCAGATTAATTATCTGTTGAAATAAAGGCCTCTTAAGCTTTCTCCTGTATTTTTTTGGGCACATCGCCGTGGAAAAATGTGTGAGTAGATTTCTTTCTTCCCAAGGACATTAAAGCATGGCATATGATGGAAGATTTTTCGCCTCGAAATACCTAATGAAAAGTCGCTATTTTGCAAGAGATTGAGGAGTCAGGTCCACATATTTGTTTTCTTCTTAATAGTGTTCTCCTTACAACTATAAGGACAAGGTGGTGATTCTTGGTGATGCGGCGCATGCCATGGTGCCATTTTACGGCCAGGGAATGAACTGTGTAAGTTTTTTGGTCAGGTGCCGATGTGTTCACTGTTCAGTGAACACAATTTGAGTCTTGCATTGGGCAATGTTGTAGTCGAGTCCATCTCAAGTCCTCTCGTAAGACCAGTTACAAGTAACAGGGTTAAGAGCAAAGATAGTATAGCGCCGAAGGCGCAAGATGGATAACTCTGCCCAAAAGGTGTAATCACCATGAGCGCCATTTGAGCAAGCGATACGCCTGCGCAGTTTACGGTAATGCTTAGCCGCAGGCTCACCAGGTGCACGTGGCTGCCGCGGCACCTGTGCCTGTGCATTAATGTGCATTGCGCAGGCGTATCGCTTGCTGAAATGGCGCCCATGTGATTACAACGTTTTACGTGTGTTCACGGTGAAGTTCTCCATCTTGTGCTGCTATGTGGCATTTAGATCTTTGGTGAAGAGTGACAAAGGAATGCTTTTGTTGCAGTTCATCTGAATAGCTTGTGACTGGACTAAAAACTGATAGCTGACTCGGGCAGGTAGAGCCTTGGTTTTTCCTGTTGTTCATATTTATATTCCACTGAAGTGAGACCACTTTACCGAGGTAATGCAAGTATCCAGCTCTCTTTCAACAAGAGCGGTCACTGAAACGGAATGCTTGCCTCAAATTCAGGAATGGAAGTGACTCAGACCTATGCGTGATACCTCCTCAGCTGAATGCTGTAATTGAGACTCCTCAAGACCATCACGATGAGACCAGCAATCTAAGTCACAAGCTATTAAAAAATAACCGAATTCCTTTGTTATTGTTCCCCCTGTTACTTGTGACCCGTCTCTGTCAGCGGTCTTGTGCATGGTCTTGTGTCTGGTCTCGTGTCTGGTCTTGCAGTGGTCTAGACTACAATACCGTTTAGTACTGACTTGTAAGAAGTTGTTTTAGGAGCTATGTTAATGTACTTCAGGTCCACTGTGGGTCCACAGACCACTAGACACGAGTGTCTTTTATACACTGAATACAATGAATGTTGGTCAAGTCATCCGCGGGTCAAGTCTTCCCTGAGTCAAGTCATCCCTGGATCAAGTCGTCCCCCGTATAAATAGTTAAATTATAATCATAATGTAACTTTTTTTTTTATTTATTAATAATCAATATATCAGACAGGACTGAAGTACTGAGTTTACTCTGGAAAGTGTATTGGCTCTAAAAAGAAAAAGAAAATTACATGTACAGATAACACTTGTAAGAACTAGTGGGGGAGCACTTGACCTGGAGATGACTTGACCAGGAGACGACTTGACCCGGGGACGACTTGACCAGGGTTTCAATTTTGGGGAACGACTTGAGTACTCGGGGACGACTTGACCTATTTCCAATACAATGACCCCTTTTTCTCCTCAGGGGTTTGAAGATTGCATTGTCTTCAATGAGTTCTTAGACAAGTTCAGCAATGATTTTGGTGAGTGTCGGGTTGTTACTTGTTTTGAACTTGACGGCAGTTCTTTGATGTTTTTTTCTCAATTGGCCATAAGCCATTACTTTTAAAGTGAAGTTGAACTGTGGAAATCCTTGTGGAAAAACTTGGCTAGTTGATGTTGCCTCCTCCAAAGTCATGGTGAGGGCGTTTAGCTTGGCTTTTCTTCGCATTGTGAAGGAGGATGTCACTAGTTTTATGGAGCTTCCAAGCACAAGTGTTGAGCATATAAAGGATATTGCATATCAGAGATATGTTATAGTGTATTAGTCACAGGATGTAATTGTTGTTTGTGATTGATGGTTAGCACTTACACTATGCACTTACGTTCAACCTATAATTAACTGGAATTGTTGAAATTGCAAACTACTGTAGCATTTAAAAGACCAAATTCCATCAACTGACACCGTTGTTAGCTCTCTTTTCACACAATTCACTGATGGTGAAATCTACCAAGCTCATGTTTGCTCCTTTAATGGCAATTTGGACAAATTGGCGCAAGTGACAAAACCTGATTGACAGCACATGGTTCAGAGTCGTGTATGCAAGACTGAATCTTTGTGCCAACATTAACTGTTCTCTCCGCAGCCAAGGCCTTGCCTGCTTACAGTGAACATCGTAACCCTGATGCCAAAGCTATGTGCGACCTAGCTATGTACAATTACATTGAGGTACAGTGACTAAAATCCGATCATTCCATCTTGTTCTCAGCAAAAAGAAAGTGGAGGGCTGTACAGCGGGCTCTGTGTTTGTTATTGCTGCTGAATAAATGGCAAATTCCTCTAAAGAGATTTTCTTTAAACTTCAAATGCTCAGAAAGTTACTTTAAGAAAGCCAACTGTTGAATATGTATTCTAGTTCTGTGTTTTTGTCGTGTGTGGCCAAAATGTTTGCAAAATGTTGAAAAATTTGTTCCTAAAATTGCACACAACGGCAGACACAGTAGTATGAAAAATGTGGGTATTTGTAGCATCCACAATAAGGTGAAGTGTAGTCATCACTGGCATATGCTTTGTGTATATATCTTGAGATCACATGACATTGTCTATGTAGTAATGTTTGCAGTAGAGGTATTAATGCAGAGTAGTGGATGTGGGGGAGGGACGGGTGCGGATGAACCCATCCCCATTTTTCTGTTTTTTAGATCAGACGTACATTTTTTATTTTCCCCTGATTTTTTTCTTTTCTTCTCGCATGCGCATGTGTATATGACTGTGGATGATTCACAGTCATGAATGCAAGATTGAAACTTTGTGCCAACGTTTGATATTAAAAGCCTGAAAGACAGAAGTTGTCACTTAAATATACACTACACTTATGTTGGATTCACCTCACGTTCGGCATCCCCTTATGCACATGTCACATGTCCCCCTCCCCCACCCCCCCGTAAATGTCAGGTGTTAAATCAGTGACACTCTTCGATCACTTTTGCAAGGGGCTAAAGACAAAAGTAACCCAACACAAAGTCGGTGATGACTTTGTGACTGAGGATGATGGTGATTGTTTTCGTCTGATTTGGTTGGCTTTATTTTGGTTTCCAGATGAGATCCTTGGTGAACTCCCGCTGGTTCCTATTCCGGAAGCGAGTGGACCAATTTTTGAACTGGCTGATGCCAAACAAATACATTCCCCTCTACACCATGGTGACATTCAGTCGAATACGATACCACAGTGTCATACAGCAGTGGAAGAAACAGAATACGGTGAGCACTTTATCCACTGACACTCTGTCAAATTCATTTGAAATAGTGGCTCAAACTGGGCCATGGTTATTAACTGGTACTCCGGCTCGATTTCATTTTCAAATATAGTTACTGAACAGTACCAGTAAAGCGGTCACAAGCTGTATAAATCACATTTAAATCCTGGTAACCTTTCTCCAACCCGGACCATTTTTTTTCTCTGCTCAAATCTTTTGCATTAGTTTTATTTCCATAATTAGTAGTATTTCCATAATTATCTATAACTAATTCAACTCCTAAGATTTTTTTTGGTAGTCTAATCTAAAAACCCACTTCCCTGACAGTGGTCGTCATTGTCAGAGTCTTATGCGATGGTTGCCTACCGAGTCTTTTTGACTGTTCATGTTCTTTTCCAGGTTGTCAGTAATGGGCTGCTCTGTCTTCTGTGCCTACCTGCCATCATTGCTGGAGTGATCATGTTGAAACACCTCAAGCCGGACATATTCAGCTGGTTGAAAATCATGGGAAAAGGCTGAATTATTTCACAGATCGTATTTTCTCTGTGGCCACCGTTTTCAAACACCTTGCCACTGGTTAGGTGCACTGTAAACCAAGAGCCATTCTTGAGTCAGTACATGTATTCACATAATGAATGTGTATGAATGCAGTGGTAAGAATGTCATGAGATGACAGATGGAATGTTCCATTCCCGCAGCAAAGCTGTGTGGAATGGAACATTCCATTTGTCACAGAATGAAATAATTCCTTCCAATTTAACAATGTGAAACATTTGTTGCTAGTTTTATACAACACCTGAGTTAGTGTAAAATAAATCTTGGCATCATGTGAATACATGTAAATCTCTGTATGATCCGAGTGGTCAAAAATTTCTTGTGACCTTAAATCTTCTTTGTACCTTCGATGAAACTTCTAATATGGCAGTACAGCCGTGCCATGCATTTGGACAAATAATTCAAATGGCATAGATTGACAACCCCGCAATCAGATTGCAGGGATTTGTTCTAGCATTTGTAAAAAGTTGACAACCTATTTTCAAGTTTTTTTTAATAAATATTAGTTACACTCTCAAAAGTTCTTTACTCTTGTAGTATTATGTAAATATGAACGTGTCTTATTCCAGCAACTACCTGCCAAGTTTCACTTACTGGCACACAGGAATTGGTGCAAGCGTTTCAGGGCAAATAGTGGCCCTGTGGGAATGGAAGAATTAAAAAACATTGCTTTTAGTGACACTGTGCAGGCTGTGTGCCTTTCTCAACCATTTATATATTTGTATACTGGTACGGCGTAAGTCTGCAAGAACTTGCTGTGAATCCTGTGATCTTCCACTGATGTCTGAAGCTCTGAGGATTAGTAACTGAATGAGTCAAAACATATGAATGGGAACTTGTCCTAAAATAGTGCGATTTAGCAACAGGGTCTTATGTCCAGAGAATTGATAGTATTACGTACTGATGAATTAATTTTGGAGTTTTTTGCCCTTCCCGACGTGCATTTTAACACTGTATGCTCAGTGTATGCCCCCGAAGGCTTGTGAAAAAAAACAAGCGTACTCGGGTGGGACTCGAACCCACGACCTCCTGCTTACTAGTGCAGACGTCTTAACCACATACTGACAAGGAAAGCGTACCTGGTATATAGATATTTGAATTGCAAAAGGAGTAGACCACTGTCTCATTGGATGTACAGTGTTGACTGTGCATGTGACATAACAAATGCAGTGTATAAGTTGAGTGTTGTTTGCAAGGATTCCATTCACTAATATTTGTACTTTTATGTGAAGCAGTACTGTTTAGGATCATGCGTCAAGGTCAATTTTAAGACAGGGCATTGCTCTTTATCAGCATCATGTCCATTGGTTTATGTTGGGCATTTTTTAAATGGTTTGTATCACCCTGTTAATTTATTGCCAATTTTACTGTGTACTGCGTCAAGTCAAAATGAGTCGAAATCAGAAAAGAAACACACCAGCTAAAAACTGAAAATTAACAGATAAAAGCCCCTTTCTGGCATACAACCTTCGAAACTGTTTGAACTCTGATGTTTCTTCTGTCTTAGACAGTGAACAGAATTGTTTTGAGGTTTAATTGCCCTTTGTGGCCTTATTTTAATTCATGTTTTGCATTTTTTTTCTTTATTTTAAACATTGCCTGTGAGGTTTGCAACCTCATTGCTGTGTGGGTGTTTGTTTGCTTGAAAAAGTTTGTTGAATTGTGCTGTGAAATTGGGACAACATACCAGTTTCTCAGAGGGCCCTTCTTAGTTCACAAATGGATTAAGGACAAATGTATTTTTGTTGAAAAAATGCATATTACATATTTTCTTTGCTTGCCCCGGTTTAATTGAAGCTGAGTCAAAGGTGTTTTTTTTTGTTGTTTTTTTTTATTTAGTCCATCAGACTTTTTCTATTCACTCTTTGCATGCTGCTGCCATAGGCATGCAGAGCCTCGATTTGGCAGTTTTACACACGAAATATAGCTGGTTCAGTGGTTCGCTTGTGTGTTGCTTAGCAATTTTGCATGTGCTGCTTTAGTTCTTATACAATGCAATTGGACAATATTTCAAAAAGCTGCGTTAACACGATTCTGACGTGATTGTTCAAGCTGCCAGTTTAAGGCTCTGTAGAGCATGCAAAGAGAGCATAGAGATTGTAATTGTTAACCCTGGCTGATATTGGAAGATTTGCATGGTTTAGAGTGCAGTTTCGTTGTGTTCTTTTCACTTTCCTGAAATTGTACTATTTGGGTATGAAAGCTTCAATTTTTCATTTACCTTTTATTGACTTAATTGGTATCGAAATCATTACAAAGTTAGTGTGAGTTATTAACTAGAATTATTTTAAGAACATTAGCAAAGACAGGGTTAAATTGCACATCATGAGCATGAGAGAATTTGGCTCTTTCAAATGGCATGTGTCTCCATATTCCATTCAGTTGTTGGCAAGTTGGTTGGGTGTGCTTTTTTGGGGGGAGGGTAGGTGTGAGTTTGTTTCTGCATGCATTTGGGGACCCTGAACAATAGAGGANCAAAACATATGGGTGGTCTTCTAAAAAAGTTAAAGTACAAACAAAAGAGGAACAATAGGGGGTCCCCAGTTGCAAGCAAATACACACTTGTGCGTGTTTGTTTATTTTTTCATTTTTTGTGCAATTAATGCTATTTTCGATTGGTGAAAAGGCTCTGCTATAAGAAAGTACGTTTTGAGTCAGTTTCCGCACAAAAAGGTATTGTTTGTAAGTAAGCATGGTCAAGGAGTAAGTATTAAACATTATGAAATCAGGAAAGGAAGATCAGGTACATGGGAGCTGCCAATCAAAGCATTCGCAGCCATTACCTCGCAGAGGGATTTTGCTATTTCCTGGTCCAAGGAACTTGGACTCTAGAAATTGCCTTTTTAGATTAGGATTTAAATCCTGAAGCTTTTTTAGATCTGGATTCAGGATTTAGACACATACCCGACCATGTCCAGATGTTTAAAAAGGCAATTTGTAGAGTCCAAGTTACTTGGACAAGTTATTTCCCAGCTCAAAAGGGATTTACGGACTTCCTCTGGCTTCATTAGCAACAGTAATCTGGAATGACTAGTTTTTTGCAAATTGTGAAGCTTCAGGATTGAAATTTTTCTCGTGGTTTTTGTTCAGTTTGTTTTTGTAACCTCATTTAGAAAAAAAATGTAAAAAAAAAGGAAAAACGGAATGGCGAGGTATAAAAAATTTAGATAAATATACGTAGTAATATCTCTTATTTGGGGAAAAAACCTGGCGATTCTGTGGTATATCTCGGGCCTGTGTTTTTGATGATCTGCTGCCCTCTCGCGATTCTAGCGCCGTTTTCCAATACTCAACTTTGACTCCGTCGCAGGTTTCAACTATACTAGCTGACTTTGAAGCTGTAAGTGCAGTAATCAGTCTAAAAGTGCCACAGAACATCAAATAAGACACCAGAAAGCCAAAATTTACAGTAATCTAATGTAATTCAAACGCTTCAGGCCCGCAATCGGGGATTGGTTTTTGGAACGAAGCCTGAGACGGAGACAAAGTTGAGAATTGGAAAACGGCCTAGATCTACAACGGAAATGGCGTAAAAAGACTGAATCTTCATTGGTTATGGGGTGGCCGGCCATGGCCGGCCAAGCGTGTCAATTTTCCTGTAATTTGATTGGGCTAGTTTCCCGAAAACATGCGTGTAACGAGGAGTCCCCCACAGATGTAATTGTGAAATATTTAAATTTTTGACCTCGTCTGAGGTCATAAGCAAAGATTGTAGATATATAGCGCCGCGCTATGCAGTCTTTAGTTATTAGGACGACCACTAGCTCCAGCCGGCCAGCTTGCTAGCTTGCCGTGGTCAGTGCTGTTAACGCTCTAATCGGAGACAGTTTAGTAGTTACTGATCCTTATCTTCTTGCTGCTGGGACGTGTTTCAACAGTTTATGGGTATTGGTAATTGATCGAGATCCAGTACATGAGGTTTTTTAAACGAAGAAACTGGTAAGTTTTTATGCAGCAACTGACGTTAGTGTGACTTCGACCATGGAGTGGTCATGAACTCGATAAAGTAAGCTCAGGCTCAGAGTTGAACCAAACTTCAACCGGGGGTATTTCTGCCTCCATGTTAGGATTAAACCCGCAAACAGGACCCGACGAATACTCCTCCGTCGTATACGACGGAGTATTCGTCGGGTCCTGTCCTGTCCTAGGTTAGGACCGGCCATGGAGGAATATTGGACCGGCTGACCCGGTTAGACCGTGGTTGGAAGTCTTCACGGTAGGAGTGCAACTGCAAGGGCCATATTCCGTGGCTGACATTGTGAATGTGATGATGACGTCCGATAATGTGATGCCACCTGATAATAAAACAGGCTTAATAACCGCAAATCAACCAATAAACACTGACAGTCGTGACAGGCTTGTAAACAGGTGGACCTAGGCCTAAATGTATTTTTGGAGTGTTTTGCGACTTCACTTTTTGGTTAAATTTTCACATCTTACTGGAAGACTGGAAGTAGGCTCATCCTACCTATGGAGTATGCAACTGTGAATGCATTTTTAGTTTGTTCTGGCACAACCCTGTTGAAGGTGGTGTTTTAGTTTCTTTTGAAAGGATTCTTAGCAGGAGTTTCCAATATAGTAAAATGCTACTTCTACATGAGGTATTGTCTGTAAGTGTTCAACTAATTAACAAGTTAACAGCAAAAATGTAACAGTTTTACTCTTGCTCCAAACTTTGGTTTGGGGAATGATATCATACCGTAATATACTGGTACAGACAGGATAAGTGAGCTGTTGAGGGGCGTGGGACATCAGAAACCATTAGTCCTCTTGGTTGGAGATCCTTTTTAGCTTAAGTTTAAGCAAGAGAGATGTTGCTGTGAAGGGAATGATCCGTTGATTTGAAATTTGTTAGAAATTCCAAGATGAGCTTAATTGCAGAGTACCCCACTATCCCACAGCATGATCCACCTCGTACCATAGCCCACCACAAGGTCAAAACGTCACACTGTTTTTATGGGGTTTTCTACTTCGTGTCCACATAACCACTAAACCAATGATTTCAGAGGTGTATCCTATTTCCAAGTGGCAGGGTATTCTGCTATTACTCCCAAAGACGAAAATTTCAAAAATGTTTCTTGGTGTCGCCGCTAAATCACCCAAGGTTGTGTCACAAAATATAGAACTGCATAAGCGTAATTTACAATTATGTCACGTAATACGTACATGGGACACATCATAATAATATTACTGCTGTTTTGACCTAAACTGCACCCCTGCCTGCTTATAAATGTACGTGCTTTCAATCTGAAAGAAAAAAGGGAGTGAAAATGAAAAAAACAAAAATACAAAATCCTAAGGATTTCGTCATGATGTCAGAGTAGTTAATCTTAGGATAAGGACTGAAGTCATGTAATCCCCCTGTATCAAGTCAAGTTTGAAGTTGACGTGTTATGTGGTCTTGAACTGGGAAGTTTTGTTTTCTGGGAAATTGTAAAAAGCCAGTCATCTAAAAAACACTAAAATAGGTAGGCTAGGAAATTAAATCCACCCCAAATGTTGCAAAAGGATAGCTAATCTATGGTTGATAACTTATTACATTATATGCTGTAACAGGCCCCCTCACCTGAGTTCATCAGGCGACAGGGTAGCACTATTCACAGGCTAATTCCCTCTGTGGATGAGGTGATCTTTGGCACAGACATGGGCAATACTGATCACAAACATATGTAGGCCTCCTCCCTACTTTCAGTAAATGATTGATAAGAATGAACCTGGTAAGGAAGACCAAGTGTGGTGCAATAAATAGCTGTCACTATGGTAGTACTCTGGTAGTGCCTACACCCTTCCAGATTAGCTAGGGCTTCATTAATTAGGCCTTGGCAATGGCATACATGTACTAATGGAAAACTTTTTGAGGGAACTTTGAAGTAACAGTAGACCCCAAAGCATACCACATGTCTACATGTACAGGAGGGTTTTGGAGTAAGTGCATATGGGTTGGGGCCCGATAGATTTGACTTTTAACTCTTTTTAGGGGAATGTGTTAGACCAAATGATGTTAATCAGATTTTCTGGATCAGGGCCAAGCCATGTTGCATTGGACCATTGTTAGATTTTGCTTAAAGTAAAGAAATTACCATTTAGACTTTTTGAGGCCGCAAGGTTTCATTATTTTATATTTACCACAGGAGTAAAATATCAACAAAATTCCAAGGTGTGCCTTTTGTTCCGTTCATAGCTACTAGGAAAGGACTTTCTTATTCCATTCCTCCATCCGTCTCATTTTTTTTCCCTTTTCATATTCTAATTACTGTTATGCCCCGGCTATAGCATCTATTCCAATAAATACATGTAGTTGGGGCCGTCTCAACAATAGTGCTGCAGGGCCAGCCCAACTGCAAGTTGCAACAAAACAATGTTGGTATCATCCAAATACAGTTTGTTCTATTCCAATGCTATAGTTGGAGCAATACACTGTATATACATGTATAGGAGATGCACTTTGCACTTATGTGAGAACTGATCTTTGCCCTTTTTGAAAATTGTTCCTGAAGCAGAGGTGCCTGTATGACTCACCCTTTTTCAGTTCTGAGACTTACACGAAGATTATAGCCCACTGTTAGGATATTTGGGGTTATAGGGTCTTCTGCAGTGTCCAGGTTTAATCAGCAACAGTGAATATGGAATGCAGAATATGCATTGTGAAAGCTTGACACAGGGAGAGCATTTTATATCAAGGATCCAGCAAGATCACCATTTTGGAGAGTTTCACGTTATGATGCTGTATGGTAACATTTTTTCACAGTTGTAACAACACAGTAAAAGTCCTGATGATGTACATGTGTATATTTTTTGATACCCTAACTTTCTCCTCTGGCATCCTACTGACACCTGCACTGGGCTACCTGTATATCCTAGGAACATTGGGATGTATACATGTATGTTGTAACGTCTGATTGTAACGTGAGAGTTATCCAAATCTTCACTTCTTTTTGTTGCAGACTCCAGTCTCTGTCAAAGAAACTGCTTTATATCCTTAACCCCCAGGGTGTGAGTAAAAATTCATATTGAAATTGGAGGATTGAGGATTGTTGGGGTTCACAATAGGTTCCACATGTTCCACTAAGAGAGGATTCTAATTGTTATTCTAGTATGAACAGATCCTTTCAATTCAAATGACAGTTGCTGACAAGTCCAACTGTCTGATGTGTTTTACAGTAAATGGATTTAAGAATCATATGGTTGAAGCTGTATACATGCATGTCTGAAAGCTTGGCCTTTTGCTCTTGGTAGGGCAAGGTTTAGACTTAGGGGAAACCCCTTTTCACCATTGGTGTGCCCATTTGAGTTTAGAGCCAAATTGATGAAATCCTACTTCATGTGGCAAGAATGTGGCTTGCAAATTACTTGGTTGAGCTAGTCTGTCATTAACATCAGAAACTTATTATAGTTTATACAGAGTTATGTTTAGGGGTACATCATGAAAGCAGTCTCTTTTTAGGAAGGACTGTTGGCTCTGAGAAGAACTGGTGGTGAGAAAAGATGTCCAAGTTTCAAACAGTGTGCTGTGTTTGTCTTCCTGGAGAGGAACGAGTTCACTGTTTGAACGGAGACTGTTTCCATGTTGTACCCACAAGCATACCTCCCTGTATTCTACCGTGGCGTGCAAGGCTCATCAAGCCACACTTTTCATTCTTTGTGCTATGTACAATACATGTGCTGGTGCACACACATGCCTATGGCAATGTGCCTTGTGCTGGCCACTGGATCATCGGCTTGTCAACGAACATTGCATGAGGTTTAAACCTGCAGTGTCTAAAAAACAACCACTGAGAAGGGAATCTGAAATGTATTGTGCCACAGTGCTGCCCAAACTAAATAGTGTCGAGATGATGTGTGTGTGTGTGTGTGTGACTTTCACCGACCGGGCCCCTCCAAACCGCACGGACACCTGAAAAAGGTTACAAAGTAGTTGGATCACCACTGAAAATATTACACAGTTCCCTGACCTTGACACTTCTCCTGCTCTAACGCAGATGCACTATTTTGCCACATTGCCCCTTTTGTTGATTGTGGCTGTCTGTTGTGACTGGTTTGTGTTTGATGTTGTCTGGCCTTGAGCCCACACTGTTGTTGATTCCAGTACACAAACGTACATGTGCATTGGATGCATGACACCTGTCCCATCAGTGGGAGTGTGCTCCAATGCATAAGTAAATGCCATGTCAATGTTCATGTGACAGGTGTACATTCAATTCTTATCAGATCCTCACTAACTCTAGCGAAAAAGCCGCACCCATTTTCTTGAACCTTCCCCTCCCTCCCGTCCCCAACCCTACAAAAAATTGCTGATACATTTGGATAAAGTTGCAGATTTTGACAATTTATCAACAAATTCGTTAAATTTATGAATATAAAAGAAACACAAAACAAAGCAACAAACTAGAGAATTTGAAGATTATCATTGTGAGAGGATCTTGCTGTAACTCAAACAATCTCAAATATGTAAATATAAATTTTGCACAATGGACCAAGTTGCATCAAGAAATGATGACAGTGCTGAAAACTCAACAAAACATATTCAAACTTATAAATTTATGTACCTTCACGCATTCCCCGAATATATGCATTTCTGTGTAGTTTAAACTTTGTGAATTTTTTCTTTGAGAGCTGAGACCTGCTTCAATTGAAGTTACTTTGTATGTATTTTGTTTTGTTGTTGGGTCAATCTGTTCACTTTGTGTTTGCTCAGGTTTTGATATCAACTGCAGGAGAGAATGACCTATTTAAGAATTTGACCTACAACCCTTGGTAGAATGGAGTGGGTGGTGGCTTGGATTGTTGCAATACTTCTGTCTGGTCTGGAGAGGGTTGAGGCACAGGGAAATAATGGTAAGACTGGCCTACCCCCTTGTAACAAGGGAGTATATATCTAGGATACAGTCTGCACCTATTATAGTGACTTGATAGCTTGCACCTGCACTATAGAGTGCTGTCGCATTGCCTCCTACCTGTATTGGTAAGGAGAGCCTAAGTTTGCAGAAATATCAATCTTGCTTTGTAGTGACATATCTAACCTCAACCTGTGCATTCGCCCTATTACTTTTCGTAGTAGTGTTTATTGTATTTGGTGTGAAGATTTTAGTGTATTTATTAATTTTTTAAAAAGATTTTTAAGGCTTGCTGAAATTCGCTTTTGCGTTTGGACTGATGGCCAGCCATAGTTTTACAAGCCACAAGGAGGTAAAAATATGACTATAGCATGGAAAGAGCCAGGCCTTATTGAAGATTTTTCTTGCTTTCACGGTTACGTCCTGGGCATTTAGGGAGCTTAATGAATGATCCCAAATTCAACTCTGTACAGTAAATCAGGGGTAGATTCCTTGCACAGAATTCTGCAATATCAGACCCTTTACTCCCTTGAAGTAATTGTGGCTGTCATGTGCAGTTCAAAATAACGTGAGTGTAGTCGCGAGTCTGGTGCAACATTTAGGATAACTAGGATGTAAATTGAGTCGATGGATTAACATCCAAACAGCAGAAGTCATTAATTGGAAAAGAAAGGAGATTTAATTATTTTTTTGTTTCAAGTAAGAAATTTGATTTTTGCAGGGATTTTTTGTTTTTCAACGTGATTGGAAGTCACAAATTCTTTGCCCCTTTCTTGTTTCCCAATTTGCAGGTGGCTTATCAGGTTTGGCGATAGGTTTAATTGTAGCCGGTGCTGTAGTATTTGTTATTATCGTCATTGTGGCCGGACTGTGCTGTTTCAACTACAAACGCAAGCAGTGAGTTTTTTTTTGGGGGGGGGGTTCATTCTCATACAGTCCGATTTATTTTTTTGCAGAAGTTTGTGGATATTCAGGTTTTGTTTGTTTGTTGGGTTCTTTGTTTGTTTGGTTACACTATTGCACAAAACGGATACTCTGCATTTGGAAATTTTTTTTATTCTGCACCTTACACGGGATCTACCATTACGTGTTCAGTACAGTTTGAACAGAAGTTTATTTCATCACGAAACAACAGTGGATAGGATTGTAGTGATATTTTCAAGAGTATAAAACCCAATCGGTTGAAAATTAAAGATTTTAGTTTGAACAAAAATTCAGTGTTAATTTGATCACATATAACATGATCACCCTGATTTTATTTTTTCTTTCATTTGTCTAGTCTCGGCCATTTGGAGTTTGAGCATCCTGAATTTGAACGAAGTAGGGAACCGTACATCAGGACCTCCTCATTTTCGCATAACCCGGACCTAGCGCCCGTCCGTTATGATGCCACAGTTGCCGACATAGCAACAGATATCCCTACCGGGGCTGAGTCAGGTATATCTTGGTTAATAAGCCTCTCCAGTGGGTGCAATGATATACTACGATACCAGTGATGGCAATATGAGGAAGTACTGTGATACGGCATATTGTGTGACAAGAGTCTGTATTGCAGTGCATTGGTTCAAGGGAGGATTATTTCAAAGTCTGACTTTGTATATGGTGCCTCTGTAGCTGTGGCACAAGAGTTGTAAATATAAGAGAGGCAGTTTTAACCCAACACGTGCGCTGTTCTAGTGGATGATTTTACGATCAACTACAATAAAATGCATATTTGATAAACAGATGTCACACCTGGAACAACGTGAGTTTACGGCATGTATCATGGTGGGTGTCATGTCATGACCTCTGCTTCCAGACACATTATATCATGCTACAGTGTTATTATTACACCACTGCCCCCTTGCTGCCATTGCAGACCCTAGGGTAACTGTTTGGTTCACCTGTTTGTGACCCATTTTGTGCACAGCTTATATATAGAAGGTGGAGATTTTTCTTTGTCATGAACCCTATACAGCGGTAGCCATTCAAATATTTATAGATTTGCCCCTCTTAAAGGACCTGTGCCTTGAATTTTACTTGGCACCAGATTTGGTGCACTTTTTTTAAAGATAACATTTGATATTTTTTTCTGCCTTTGCTCACAAATGAGGGCGCTGTTGCTGTGATGTCATTTTTAGGAAGACACTCGTCGTCAATGCGGTTTTTATATTTAACTTTAGAACCTCAAGCTTTCATTAAGAGTGTTGTTGAGAAAATGGTACTTACATGTACCTACTTTCACGAACAGAAACCATGAATTAGAAAAAAGGGAGGTATAAAAAGCAAAACAAAAAAATCTGGGAAAGCTTGATGTTTAAATCACTGAAATATTGAGATTTTTCCTTGAAATGGCATCACAATTTTGCTCAAGAATGCGCAGATTTTCATTGGTGCGAAAACTCAATAAGCAGCAAAATGCCCTTGAAGATGGCAAAATAAGAACATCAAATAGGATTAATGTTACACATTGATGCATTTGCAAGGACTGCTTTAAAAATAATCTTTTGCCTGAATTTTTTTTTTAACAATTTGCTGTTTCCTATGTACTGCTCATGTATCTGCAGTGAACCTGTCATTGGCTCACATAGGTTACATGTAGGTCTGAATGCATATTCTCTCCTAAATTGAATTTGGCTTTCACAAGCTAAAACTGTTGAACCATTCTAAAACTGTTTTTGTCTGAGTCAACCAACGACAAAACAGCTGGCCAGCTTGAAAATGGTTTGCATATCTGCAAAAAATGGTGCCCACAAAAAGGCGATTCTAATCTGCTCGGTGAGCCTTTTCACTTTAGCCAGAATTCTCCTTCTGACCAGTTTTTTTCCTTGGGGTATTTCCCTGAAAGAAGTCACAGAGAAACATATAAGATGTGCAGAAAGTTGTCTGATGTGCAGTTTCCCTGATGTGCAGTTTCCCTGATATTCACAGATCTATTTTGTTGATGTTTTTTCGCCTTCTAGATGGTGATACTGCCTCAGCTGACAACGTCGTCATCTCTCCGTCAAAGGCAGAAAAGCGGGAGAGGTTTGAGAAGCAGTTGAGGGAGCTGCAACCACATGCCGTCACCTTCCTGGAGATGCAAAAGGATGTCCAGGAACGGATCAAGAATGCCAAACACGGCAATCCCAGGGTGCATGGCTACAAGTGAGTACACTTCATACAAGTATACATGTACCTGGGCTTCCCCCGCCCCCCAAACAAATCTTGGCGTCAACTCTTCATATTTACTGTTGGAACAGGTAAATGCTCCTGTTTTACGTCAAATCAGACACTTTGATGTTGAAGCCAACACTGGAACTACTTACATTTTGAGTTGAAGGGTCTCAACCCAGGGGCTTAAATTCCGGAAATTGAGGCCCTAAGATGGAGCTGAAAGATGGAGCTAAGGTTGGGCAATCTCCTTTATCTCTGGAAAAGAATTATCAGTTTCTACTTGTTTGGCTCCCTTGTAAGTTGCAGCCTCTGCTAATTTGGCCCTCATCCGAGAGCCCAATCCCAATTTGCCCAATCTGAATTGTCACTATTTAAGTTTTCCTGCCTGGATGTTACAGGGCAGTGGCCCGCGATCTGAGTCGAGTGCAGCATCTGCTGAGCAACAGGAACTCCGCCGGCCTCAAGATGCCGCCGGATGGCTTGGAGCTCCTAGCCTGGGCTGGCAAGACGCACGAGAAGTACCTGGAATTGCAACGGGTAAGAGTCTGAGGTTGCCCCATCGGGTCGGCATTGGAGAGAATCCCTTTCACGCCATGATGGTCAGGGTTCAAATCACATGCTTGGACTTCCATCATGGCTTGGCTTGAGGGGGTGCCGTTGTAACCTCATTACAACAAGTTGTCATTCTACTTTGTAACATGTCTGATATTCACCCTAAGATGTTTATTGTCATATACTTCCTCTAATGCCCAGCCCCTCCTCCTCTTTCCTCGATGCCAGGGGGGGTTGCCGGACCAGCTGGGAAGCTGGCCGGGCTCGGCTCCCCCCGCCTGGGAGGTCTTCAGCATAGTTTGACACCATTTTTTTTTATTTTGATATGTACAATTCTTGTAAAATGTCAGAGTTTTGATACTTAGAAGCCCAGAAGTATTTGAATTTGTCGTGCTCATGCACACACAGGGAAGCTTTCAGTGTGTGAAGTGAAACTTGGCAAAGTTAGAAAGAACAAGTCTATCTACTTGATATTACAAAAATGTCCCTCAAGGATTAATCCTAAAAGAGCTGGGAGCTTTAAACTTTAATCCTGCCCCTCCTTCAAGATCTTGGCCGTCTCTCATCTGATCTGTTTGAAATTTGGTATGAATGTAAAAAGTTATTGTAAGTACAGTCATTTTGCAAAAGCTCAGATAAACTTGGTGTCAAAATGATCGTAAGACATTACTGGAAGTACTCCTGTAGGCTCGGCATGGGGAAATAAGCATTACGAAGATATGTTGAGGGAGGGTTTCACTTCCCCTTCCCACTCTAGGAGGGACTGAAATTCCCCCTCAAATGTAAGCTTGGGTATTATGTTCCCATTTGCAGTACAAGTCAAAGAGAGACAGTGGCCTGTCTTCCGAACCCCCGGAGGTGTGGATCCAGTCTAAGGATGACTCGGTGTTTGAAGACGAGTCGCACAACGAGAGCGACGTGATATAAGGGACACGGACTGCAGTGGTAATGACAAAGCACGGAAAATTGGTTTGCGGTATTTTTTTTTTTTTTACAATGTGTACTATGTCTTTTGATTTGGCAAATAATTTTGTATGTAGTTGAGTTGACAGTGGACCACCCTGTTGACAACAGAAGATATAGTGATTATCCACACATCCCATTTGAGCCCGCTTCAAACATCGAACTTCTGCCGTGTAAATTCCAAGAATAGTGCAAAATTTTAATTAGACGTGGAAAAAAGTCAACGTTTCAAGCAACCGCCAACTTCCTGCTGAAAGTTTGACAGGTCTTGCCACTTGTAACAGCAGAAGAGCGGCACAGCTTAGACCAAAAGATTTTTGCCGTGTCTAAGTCAACTGGCAAGTCCCAAATCAGATCTGTAGTGGTACCATTTTGAAATGCGCATGCGCTTGCCAGATTTGTTTTGAGAACCAAGAGGGACTGTGCATAAGCAAACAAGAAGAAACTTTTAACCTGTGCCTTAGTTAATGTTTCGTTGGCGTTTTCAAACTTTTACAAATGTCTGTAAAACTGCAACGTATGAAAAATTGTACAGTGTATTGCGTTAAATACTCAATGAATAAATTTTTATGGGCTGTTTATGTCGGTTTAGAAAGACTTTTTTAACCCTTGTAAAATTTGAGCTGAAATAAAATTGCAGCTAAAAATGGTAGTTTAGATAGTATTGGTTGAGGAGAGCTGTTGTGAATGGTCTCCTAACCGTAACACTCCTCAGTCCTCCAACAGGTGAAGGATTGAGGAGGGTTAGGGTTAAGGTATTTTGAAAACATGGAGTTCAAATAAAGGAGAGGGCAGTGTACATAATAGACCTGGATTTCCTCTACAGTTTGGTTAGGCTACATGTGTCAAGGTGCCGTAGTGTTTCAGGGAACATTTCAAAGGGGTCTTAGAAACCAAGACTAAGGCAATGTCAGCTATGGTTTCAATGGCTCCTGAGAAATTCTGTGGCCTGCAAACACATCATTACAATCAAAAACAACTAGGAGAGACACATTATTTCAATGGACAGAAAACCAATAGCTTAGTTATCTGGCAAAAGAGTGCCCCAAATCTGTCGGTACCACAATACATCACTGAACTTGAGAAGTTAAAAGGGCTTTTGTCCTTAATTTGCCATCACACTTTTAAGCTACTCCTTTTTGTTAGTAATGACACAGACATGGAATTCTTTGATAGAAAAATAGAAAAATTTTTATGAAGAGTACTTCAAAAGGTTCAAAATTTTGTCATTTTCACTGATTGAAATTGTACATAAGTTTTTATATCTTTTGTAATATGAAGACTGAAAAAGCTTTGCAAAATGATATAAGCCTTTTGAAATACATGTAGTAGAAAATTTTATCCAATTTTTATATTTTTGAAAGGAAACGACAGGAAATGTATCCGTGTTATTTTTACAGCTGAAATTGCTTCTGCCTAGTTTCTGCCTAGAGGTTGAGCAATATTCACATATCTTAGATGCCAACAAGAAACAGCGGCCGGGTTCAGACCAGGCTGTTTCAAGAGTAATTAGAATATAGTAAATCAGTGCCAGGCATGTGTGTCTTGGACAAGTCACCACAATTTTTATTTTGTGGAAGACTGAAGGCAAGAGCTCTGTGTAGCTCATTACCTAGGGCCTGCTTGTTTCAAGCGATCCAGGTTGTGATTAGTGATCCGAGGTTGGTTCACTGACACCAGAACTCCACTAATTGATATTGCAAACCTGCTTTCAGATCACTGATTATAAACCAGATCTGTGTGGAACAAACAGACCCTGAGATGTACGTGCATGGATGCAACTTCTGGGGGACATGAAGACATCAACGAGAAGTCACGTTGCTTGCCTAGTTGTGACTGGACTCGTGATCAAGCCCTGGTGTTGGTGTTTGTCTGTAGCCCAAGGCATAAAATCTGGCATGACACCAGTACACTGCACTTGATATGCTACAGAGTGGTGTACTATGACATATTGGCAAATAGAAATAGAGCGATGAAAATCTTCACACATGTGCTAGACTTGAATCAAGTCCAAGTCGGACTTAGGTTGCTCTTCCCTAGTCAGCCATCCCTTTAGTTGGTACGTGTATACATACTACATGGTCGTCGCGCTCAGCCCGGCAGCTCACATAACCCTTACAAGGCGCCCTCACTTGATAACCTTTATTGTACAAAATGTGTCATACGTCACCAGTCAGTAAGTCCGACTTGATGGATAAGCCAATCGGACCCCCTGTAGGTGACATGTAGTTATTCATAATTGCATATGAATGACATGATCTTGCATAATGTATACGGAATTTCCACCAAAGTAGTCAGACTTGTAGACTTGTTCATACCTGTATGAATGACGTAAAAACAAGTCCGGCAATGTGATTGGCTGCTACCACTTACGGTAGATGAGCCCATTTGCTGTGTACAAATGGTTGGCAGATTCGTCAAGTCAAGATTTCTGTACTGAACTCATAGTAATAAGTGGACACAAGAGGGCGCGAAGCAAGTAACAGCGCACGGTCTCGATATGTATCCAAACAGAAACGAAGACGTCATAGAGACCCACAAGTCTACACATGTGCAGATATTCATGGTGCAATACCCCAAATTCTTTTGCTTGAATGAACACCAACCACTGCCCTTAAAATTTGACCCACTGAGATGCATGATTCATTAATCTACAATAACCCAAATCATGACCTTGAGGTTGATATTCATTGCTCACTGCTAATTAACAACTTGATGTATCTGTTTTCGCGATAGGATTCTGCCAGTTTTAAATCAATTCCTTCTTGTAGCTTGAATGCCAAAGATTTAAAAAAGAAGTTTGAACTATTTCCTCCGAATTCTTCAATTTTTATATCCAGCCTTGACAACACTGTTTGGGCTAAGAAATAACTGACCCATTCATACATGTATTGAAAATTCTTTGCCTTTAATTTGCTGTGCATGTGCACCAACCTTTGTACATAAGGACTAGTGACTTAATGTTGATCTATGCTTGCCTATGTTAACAGCATTTTTTATCTTTTCCACTAAGCAAGTTAAAAACGGGATTGAAATAACAATTCTGCTAGAATTCTGAGCAGTTCTGTATGTCAGACTAAGGGTAAAAAGCGCTTCAAATACCATAATAGACTTAACATATGGTTAAATATCAGTTACAAATCTATGAAAACTATTTTTCAACTACAAAATACATGTATTCTTGAAGCTCACCCCTGGCATAGTGTATGCAAAAATCATTTGATTTCTGCAGGAGCCTTTTTGCAGTGACTTCATCAGACTGTTAATGTAATTTATTTTCCAAAAAGCCCCCTAACGTCCACAAATTCAATAAGATTAAACAGGAACCATTTATTTACACATCACATACCTGTGGATGCTTCCATTGGTTATTGTAGAGTTAGGGAAATGCAGTTGCTTCTAAATAGAAACTTCATAGTTCAACCATTGAGGAAGGACACAGAAGGAGTTTGACCTGCCTGGGCTATAACATCTGGCCAATTACAAGTACCGCTTTCTGGCATGCCCGGTATGTCCATAGCCAGAGCGCAGCTAATGCTTGATACGCACCACCTGTTTCACAATCATAACACCCCTTTGTACCCCATGATCATTGCTGCAATTTTTCGCTGGTGATCTGCATCCTTAAAACGTTGTGTATTGTAGTAAAGAAAGCTGAATATTCGTGCCATTGTTGGTGCTTGGTACGATCCAACATCCAATTTAATGCATGCCCAGTTGTTCGTATTAGGCTGTGTACTCGAAGTATTCATATGTAGTTATTGCCCTTATCGAACGCTTTCTTCTGGACTTAATACTGGGAATAAATAGCCAAGTTGTGTTTAAGATTTAATTTACATTATTTTTATCACAGAATTTATAGACAAAAATATATTTTATGTGATCTTGTGATGAAACAGCTCATTTTGTTTTCCATGAACTTAACTGTCTCATGGTGGTCAACATGTTATTAGCCAGTCTTGGTCAAATTTGTACAAAGACTTTGAAAACTGATGTTTTGGAGTGACAAAATAAAATCACAAACATTGCATGGATAATGGAAAAGTGCATCAAAATCTTTTTAAACATTCACTTCGGCAAAAGTAAATCTAATGTTAGATATGTTTTTCTATTTCCTGATCACTGCGATAAGTTGTAGTTAATTCCAAAGAAAACACCACAAATATTGCTACACATTACTGCCCCACTTGTCCGGCTAAGCTGCAGGCAGTAATCCGGCATTTTTGGAATGTTTACTATTGTTCGTCTGACCGGGCAGCGATGCTCATCGAGCACTTCGATGTGCCAGAGTTCTAACTCCTTCTGTGTTCAACTGTATCATTTAAGTTTTGTTATACAGCCTAGATTGCAAGACATGATCTGTTTGAGCCACTTATCTGACTCTATTTCCATAACATCTACTGTAACGCAGTTACCATACATTTGTGTGTTCTTTTTAAACCTAACCCCCCAAGGGTTGCTGGACCTAACCTTCCCCATTCACACAAAGTTAAACACCCATATGGGACTTTNGAGGTATGCCAAACCCAATGCAAAAGCCAGCTGTTACGGGCCTACCAGACCTATTCCCACAGAATTACATACTTTACTACTGTTTAATTCTGTGTGGCTGGAGAAGGTTAGGGTTAAAGACAAGTGAACATGCAAAATGCCTGCATAATCTAGAGCTAAAGCAATGCAAAGGTGCTTTGTGCATGTACATACGGGTTTGGAGGCTACCATATCCACCAACCCCCCCCCTTCACTGTGAGAAGAATGTACATATAGCAGTACTTAAACAACATTTAGGTATGGCTCCATACTTGAATAAGGGAGGGGGCGGGGCATCCTTGAGTGCACAGAGCCTGTTACTGAGTTGGAATGAGGTCAGGGGGGGGGAAGGTTTTGATGGAAATGGGGGGGGTGATCATTTAGTCACTTAGGTGCTTTCTTATCAAAGTTGTATGAGGGTTTTGTTTATGTTATTTTATATATCAGTACTTTTTTTTTCAGGTTGCGTTGCAGTGATATATGGTACATAAGAAATTATCGCACAGCACTGTATTCGATCGAATTGTCCAGTAAAGAATAACGAGCTATTGTTTTTGTTTTCAGTGTGCCAAGAATGTATCATACAGCTTTTGTTTTACACGTGATTTATCATTTTATCGTACACTCTTTTAAGAGGAAAAAAGTTTTTTAGGGAAGAAATTATGCAGTTTCTGAAAAAAATAGAATTTCAATAAAAAATTTGACAATGCATGAGGCTCACATGCAGTTCATGAGTTGTCTTTTCCACAGTTACTTGTGGTTTGTATTCATCAAATGATGACCCCCAGCTGGTCTGTATTGTTTAAGTACAGTCTTGTGGTGCAACCCCTCCCTGGTAAACATAATGTACATGTACGTTTGTTTGTAGCCTGAAGGCTGGTTTTTACTTGCATGGAGATAGAATTCTACCTCCATGGTACTTGATGCAAAAAATGAACAAGAACATGAAAGTGTGACCTCAACTACATCAAATGTCTGTGCTGTGAAAATGATTCACACTGTGAATTCCCAAAAGTCTCACGTTTTTCAACTCCGGTGATTTCATTTTGAATGTTTCGTGACATTAACTTCGCTCCCCTTTAGCATCCTCTTAATGAAGTAGGAAATGGCCTTTATGCAATATAGGGTTTTAAAAATTCAACAGATGGTCAGCAATGGATTAAAACCTGTCCACAGAAGTGGGACTTGCTGTAAAACTTGACAAGTTTTATCATTCTGAACAAGAGCCAGAAGGGCAGCTATATGTCAGTTGCTGTAACACATATTTTGAAGTGAAAGAGCAAATATCTCAGAAAAAGGACTATCATAAGTTTTACCCCAAAGACCTCTCTCTAATTAATGTATGAGATTGTCCATATTTTTAGAAAATCTATGATTTCCACCCCGCTCCAAACCAGACCTGTGGACTTGAGTCACTTGGCTTAAGTCGGACTCAAGTTGCCATTTTTGTGACTCGTAACTTGACTTGTGACTAGCAGTTTTTGACTTGTAATTTGACTTGGACTTCCACATTTTGACATGTTACCAATGCAATTCAGAAAATCAAATCAATCAAACCCATTAAAGTTTTAAATTAGGCCTATTAACTAACGCCTTACAGTCTTAAAATAATCAGAATAAAACTTTATTTGGCTTGCAACTTCTACCCACAAGGCCATGCCTGAATCACTTGGCAGTGGCGTGAAATCACACATCGCATAACTTGACTTGTACTTGGATACAAATACTTTAACTTAAGCAACTGACTAGTGACTTGACTTGGCCTGTGCTCAAATGATTTGCGACTTGACTTGGACTTGCAAAAATTGACTTGCTACTTCCGCTGCTCCCAACCGATCCAAAACCTGGATACTATCAAGTTTCCAGGCCTTTCGAAATTGGGCTTGAATTTTGTCATGCCAGTTGGATGTTTTTGGAACATTTTAAGCCTCCATTTGTCTAGTACGGATCACATTTCAGGTCTTGGAAGAAGCCGTATGTTATTTTGGCCTTGAACAAATGGGGAAGATTGTTTCTGGAAGCTGGCAGTCACACTGCTGAGTTGCCACAGGGCTTATCCTTCATTTTTTGCTCACCTTGATGCTTCTGGTGCCTCTTGACAATATCTGCTGGCATGTGTAATCTGACATTCCTCATATTCCTGTACCTTAATTTCATGTAGATGGTGACACTGACTTCCACTTCGACTGGCTGCTTTTTTAGTTTCAGGAGCTGTGGAGAGAGGGTGACAGTGAATTTTTGGTCCTGCCCGAAGTTTGGAATATTGTCTTCCAAAGTACAAACAATAGGATGGGCCGTATCTTGGCCTTCTAATACAGTCAGTAATATAAACCTTAAGCATCCTTTTGCATTCTCAATTGGAAGAGTGTATCTCGGTTTAAGATGATACCGTATGCCCCACTGCTCAGAGTTTTTGTCGTAGAAGGTGACACCTTGAAGTGACCAGTTCTTTGTATCTTCTCGTGGCTCTTCACAGACATTGTTTGCAGATACTCCCACCACTTTCACGGTAATGGCATTTGCCCCATTGCCCTCTCCTAGACGAAGATGTTGCTTGGAGTGAACTGCATGCAACTTCAGTTGATTGTACAAGTACCTACTGCCGATGTAGTAACGTAGCTCAGTGTAGTGTCGTGAGAAAGCAGCAAACCGGACATGGTAGGGTAGTTTACTGAAGACATTGTCAGGAGCCAGCACCTTCCACTCATATATCCCAGGCAGCACTCTTTGAAGGGCCTGTTTTAATGCTGGGTATATCTTTGAACTTTGAAATAGCATTGAAGTGGTCTCTTTAAGTACTGATGGTGATGTGTGAGGAAACCGTATCAGGGAAAGGACCTGCTGTGTGTACGTCCTGTGCTCAACGTTCTCTTTGTTCATTAACCAAGCACAAGCACATGCCAAGACCTTAGCTTCAGAGGGTACTACCAGCTTTGAGCTTCCAAGAAGCCTTAGGAACAATTTGGGGCAGATGTTGAACAGGCTGGCTCGAGGGAGAAACTCAAAATTGTTCTCAAGCACACTGAAGCAGTGTTCATACAGCTCGGTCATCCCAATCTTTTCAGCCTTACTGATCATCCTAAGAGCAGCGTCTTTGTCATTAGACACCTTCTCCATCAGAAATGTCTGACAGACATCAGAGAGATCCTGGACCTTATACTTCTTGGCAAGCTCAAAGAGTGGATACACATTTCTCTCGGTCAGATCCAATGTCTCAGTGTACATGAACTTCAGGAAGTCTGCAAAGACCTGAGTGTTCTGTGTGGGTTCTTCCAAGGTAATCTCCTCGGACAGATAATCATTGCTAGCTCCTTCATTATGACCTCCTAGCCTAACTGGTGCCGATGTCCTCCCACAATTGATGAACATCTCCCGAAGAGCATCACTCCAAGAGCAAAGAATCACCTTGTGGGCGTGGAAGATGTTTTCTCCCACCTTGAATTTGACATCACTGAACTTTGTATTGTTGAAGTAGCATGCCAGCTGTTGTGAAAGATCAGTGTCTTGGTTGGAAAGATCATCATCAGTAGCAGAACTCTCTTGAGGTGAGTCTTCCTGATAGAAAAATAAAGAACCAGGAAATTTTTGACATCTGTTCTAATAATTTCCCAGCAAGAAAATACTTCACTAAAAAGGTAGGGCTCCCGGCTGTAAAAGTACATATGATCTCAGTTTCTAGAAGTACATTTTGTCAGCTTGGCCCATGGAGCAAGGTAAGCTAGACCTTTTTGATATTCATGTACTCTAAGTGGATGTAAACTACAAACCAGAATTCTGACAAATGGATCCTGAAAAGTTTGGAACGGATTATTAGTTTGGAAAAAAAGTAAAAACAAAATGAAAATCATGGCAAAAAGAAGATGTTTGTATTCATAAATAAAAATGGGTATGTTTCGATTTGAGAGAAGTCTCAGAAGGAATATTTTCTAACTTTATCTTTGCTTTGCATGTAGTCTATTTCCTCTCTGTTTTGTGTGTTTATCTGACCATGAAATGTTCACTTTTGCTGATTCTCTCCGTGTTTGTCGTTGCTTTTGTCTTTCAGAGGCTATTGTCGGTGTTGTTCCTCTTGTTTTTCTGAGACTGTAATTATCTACAAACTGTATTTGGAGGGCCTCTAGATGAGCTTTCTAGCTTTTCAGGGAAGATCACAATCCAAGCAGATTTTTTTTGGGCATTATAAATTCTCTATTCGTATATTTGTCTTTTGTTTCAATTTTTTATTTAATTTAATGCTTGTTTATGCAAAGAATTTGTAATAATCTAAATGATTTTTTGTTGCAGCCAACTGTGTAGATGTATTGTCAATATGTGAAATGATCTAATAAATAAGCAAATAATTAAAAAAAATATGTTATGTCTGACAATCTTCCCCTCCTTCAGCACTGTAGAGTAATGGTGGCCTTTATACTTACATGCGTTTGGGGCCAGAGAGAGTTTCTCAGCATGTGAGATAGAAGTTGCCTGCGACAAAGCACCTCAACAAGATTGTCTTCCTCCGAGTCCGAATCAAGCCAGTCACGACGTGGGCTCATGAAAGCCCTGTATGGGAAAAGCTGATTAAATGCCATATCACAGCTCACTGATGAGGTGCTGATTGCTCAGACCCTGCAATTTGATGAATCAAAACACTTTCAAATATTAGCCCTAACCCCCCGAGGGTGTATGTAAAATCATATTGAAATTGGAGGATTTGGGACTGTTGGGGTTAGTGTACCGTTTCACTGGTTTAACTTTCCAATAGCCCATGTACATGTTCTGAGCAGCAATGAAACTGAAGAACAGCACAAAATTTAAATCCACGGTAGGCGGAGTGCATCTTTAACGTGTATTAACTGCTTCCCCTAAGCATGTTAAATCTCATGTGTAAGTTTCCAGATTCTCCCAGGATTGCAGGCGATAACTGAATGAATGAGGACAAGTAGGATATCATCCCTCAGCCCCACGCCACTGCTGTGTGCAACTGATGCATGTAAGATTAAAAAAGCTTTAATCAGCTTGAAAAACAACACCTAACCAGCTGCTGCTGAAATCATGATCATGATGATGGTGCCGTGAGTGCAGCTGGGCTAGGGGTTGTACCACATATTTGGGGACTCCGTTCCTATAACAGCAGGGAGACCGACATTCCAAGATTAGATTTACCTTAGTAGATGACTGCGACATCATTCTCAATGACTGTAGTGTTGATTTTGTTGAAAGAGGGCAAGGTTTTGAGTTAAAGGGAAACTTTATTTGCACGGCTGGTTTATCAACTGGTAAGAAAGTCACACTTCCCCACAATTTACAATTCGGTATTTAAAAAAATAGGGTCAGCACAAAATAAAGAGAGCATTTTCTTGGGTCTTTTGGGGGCGACTGACCAGATTAAAATGAAAAAAAAACCTGGGGGGATGCCCAAATATACGATCCCCGTGCAGCTTCCTTCTGCAAATTTGTGTAGTAATGTACATGTACACAGCCGTCTTTCCTTACCGTATCATGCATACAGCAGATTCTCCAAACTCCTACTACAGTGTCATCGATCGGCTGCTGAACAAATTTAACCAAAATGAGACTTGAACTCCACGAAAATTTGGTCCATAATCACTGTCGGTGTCACCGTGGTGTCATTCACTTAGTAGGTGTGGTTTTGCCTTGAAAGCCACTGACAGCTAGCACGCGTACGCAAGCTGGTCCTTCCTGGGCATCATGTCACGTCAGCCCACTCGCAGAAAGGATTTCTCACCACTCGCGCTGTAGCTGCAGCAAAAAAGGGAATTCCCCAATGATGGTGGCCAAAAATCTGGCTACAAGCCAATACCCAGCTGATTAACTTTCACCGATTTGCCGTTGAAAGCAAGAGTAATATTTTGCATACATATATCAACGGCAGTTTTTTCCCAAGTAAGAGGGGTATCGGGTGCTTATTCAAGGTTCGAGAACAAAAATTACCGGGGGGTGGCAATCTGGGGATTTTTAGGGAGGGGGAAAAAATTAAAGAGCACCTTTAAGGAAAAAATGTTTTCTCTGATTTTATCTGTTCGAATAAATATGGAAGCATCCAAATCAAACGCAGTGTGGTTTGTCTTCAGAAATCAACTATAAAGAGCTAAAAAGTGCTTTTTTTTCTGTTCATGCCAAGATGCGAATTCTGAATGTAGATTGTCATTCGGAGAAAACACAGGAAACGAGGGGAACTCTCCCCCTGTGTTCGTAGTGGATAAACCCTTGTGCATGCCAAATAGTGCACGTAGCCATCGTTTGTAGCCATTTTTTTTGGGGGGGGAGGTCTCCATTGCCCAGGTTTTTGCCCCAACCTCATCCACTCTTGTTAATCAGACTTGTTTGATTTATGTTGTCCTTTGTTGCTGTCCTCTTTTGCTCTCTCCTGAAGACAATCAAAGAAAACTGGTCAAAACGTTTGAGGAAAATCTAGAGCAATACCACCAGAAAAGAGATTATTCTCAGGGAATGAAAACTTCTTAGTTCCACAAGAACTGAAACAATTTACACAGAAACAAGCAAGCCTTTATTAGCCTTTGAACAAACAACTACATGTATTTATTTATTTATTTATTTATTTATTTATTTATTGAAAACTAGAGCTTTCCCTAAAACATCTAAAAAGGATGCATGTACATACACACGTAAAAATTTCACATAACAATCGTAGACATATCCACTGATTAGAGAAGAGAACTACACGTATACTGTCCACTGTAAAACCTGTTCAGTAAATAAAGATAAGATTTACACCGTACGTGTATGTTGTAAAAATTGTTAAGAAATCATCTTTTTTTCCCATTAGGATGCACTGTGACCAAAACCGTACCTTGTGGTTTAACCCAAAAGCTCCCTTATCTTTCAATTACATGTACACATCCTAGGAGACTATAGTTTATTTCTACTTGATTACATATGACCCAGCATTTCCAGTTTGATGAAACTTAAAAGCTCCAAATGTTAAAACCATAATACTGTCTTATTTCACCACTCTTGAAAATATTTGGTAATGTAACAAACCTAACAAACAAAACTATATACACATGCGTATTAATGCTTCACATAAAAACAGCATTCATCTTCATCTTCCCAGAGATAAAATTTTATGAGGTAAAATACACAAATAAAACATGACCAAAAAATAACAAATGAATTATTGCAACTGTGTAATGTCAACCAGTTAATATACTTTACCTTTCAGTTGAGAATCTGCAGCATTGCGTAACCATGTTTTTTTTGCCTAAATACAAGGAACTATCTGTGTAAAATTGTAGATATAAATTTAACATGCCTTCTATCCTCACCATGAACAGTTGCCCTCAAAAATGTTCTGTATCAAAAAAAATTGAGAAAAAGTTGAGGGGTTGGATCAGAATTTTCCAAATACACGTATTGTTTGTAGGTAAACTTCCTGTACAATTCTGAAAATTTGAGAAATCTCCTTTGAAACACTTTGTCCTAAATTCCTTAAAATGCATTATGTTGTAAATGAGATGTGAAATTTAATTTTTGATGTAAAAATGCAATCACCCATATGTTATTTCATTTTCAATTGAGCACGTACATGTACATAGGCAGTCATTAAAACCTGGGAAATCATGATTGCACTGCATCAGTGCAGTTTGTGCTGCTTTGAACTCGTTCCACCCCTAAACTCACACATCTACAGTAAAAATGGTGCAATGCTACTCTATCAAATTGTGCCAAAACAACAAACTAAAACACTTATCTGTACATCCGTGACTTTGACTTCAAACTGTTGATTTTCTCATATTGATCGGTGAGCAAATGCCAGTATTGCACTCAGTTTCTTTGGTTGAACGTTTCTGACCTGCTTTGATCCAAGAAAATGTTTGATCCAAGCAGTTAATGAATAAGGTATACACCCATGCAAAGTACTGTTCCACCCCCCCCCCTTTGACCTTAAGATGAAGAGAAATTCTACAAGTTCTGTCCACCTACTTGTACATCCAATTGCCACAACTTTTATCGGGGCCAAAGACCTGAATGCCCACTTTGATCCACAATCTGGTGGGGTCAGCACGGCAGTGCAGGGCTGTGGGTGGTACATCGATGCCTATCACTTTGCCGATGTCCCCCGCATCTACGCAGGTGACTGGAGCATCAAACGAGTGCTCTCCCTGCGGGGCAGACTTCAGCAACACGACGGCCACTCGGTACGATCTTCCAATGTCTTCAAAGTCTGGTTTGAGCATGAACCTAACAGCCCACTTGTCCTCGGGTGATTTCCTGAAGGCCATGCCCCCAATCGCCCACATATCCTTGCTGACGAGGTAGATATTCTTGTTTTCGCTCTGGCGAGCCACTGGACAGGACAGCTTGCGATGCTCGAACTCTGTCTCGTTGTCCTCAGGGCATAGTTCAAGCTCCCTGAAGGAACGCCAGCCAGCAACCTCACATTCGTTGTTGGCTACACGCACGCAGAACATTGGCTCCAGGTACATGCGTGGACTGGAGAATTCCTTAAGCGTATCTTGGTATGCCTCCTCACCGGCTAGAGCTCTCACCTTGAGTGCCTCGAAGATGTGCTCCTTCAGTTTGGGTATGAGTGCAGCTGAGCAGTCATCAAGCAAGGTGGCCAGGTCGCATGCCGGGATGTGCTCAAAGCGGACCAGGGACAGCAACTGATCGGAGAACTCCTGGCGCTCCACAAGGCAGCTCTCTGTGCCCAGCCAACGCAGGACGGCGTCAAAGATGAAGGTCTCGTTGGGAACAACAAGATTGGAGCTCTGCAGCAACTTGGCCAGGAGGCTACCCTCAAACCAGTACAGCGTGGGTACCTTATCGTCGTCAGTGGTCCACAAGTGAAAATGGTTTTCCAGCAGGCTGAAACTCTTCTGTTCAACCCTGCTCAGATCTTCTGTCAACTTAAGTGCTTTAATGGCATCCAGAAAGGGTGCAGTAGAGGTCTTCAAATTATACAACAGATATTCCACACACACATGCTGCAAATCCCGGACCAAGTACTTGTCGGCTAACATCAAAACGGCGAAGACACTGTCCTCATCCAAGTCCACCTCCTCCGTGTACAGGAAGCGCAAGAAGTCCTCAAAGTACTCCTCACAGACTTTGTGCTCATTCAGCGTATGCACCTCAGGCTCGTCACTGGGTGAGCCTGCTGCCCACCTCTCCCCCAGGAGTGACCGGAATACTTCACTCCAAGCACAGAGGATGAGCTTGTGGGCGTGGAAGACAAATGGACCGACCTTCAAAGTGACGTCGCTCAAGCGGGGATTCTTGAAGAGAGGTGAGACGCAATTTATGAGAAACTGCGGCATCAACTCCTGTCGTCTTTTCCGCATCCGATGCTCCACCATTTGTCTGCCAGTCTCCTACAGGAAAAATGAACATATCACAACTCCTAATCCTAGCTGGCAATGGTGCACAAGAAGTTTGTGAATCCAACAAGGCCAACAGTATCTATCAAAAATTATACGCAAAGCAACAAATTCAGAGGAGGCATCTTAAAGCAGATTTATTGTATAATCTGACACATTAATTTGAAACATTTTGATCCATTGAGGCAACAGTCACCCCTCCAAGGAACACATTCAAGAAATAGGGATTACGGAGGACGGAGGTTATATCCTTTTTTCACATTGAGGCAATCGAAGAATTTTGCAGGATTCAGGTTGTACAAGTGCCTAGGAAGTTAGGATTAATCTATTAATCTATTCAGTCAATTCATTCTACCGTCCTGAGTTTGTTTCTCTCAGCGTTGTCCTGATTTCACTTATAAAATCATCATCCCATCCCAATCTGCATCCTGCTTTGCTATACTTCGTGTTTCAGTGAAATTTCAATATAATTGACATGAACTACAGACAGATCTTGGCCACCCTTTTGTATTTTTGCATCAAGCAGCCTTTGCGGTCAGCACAGTTTATGTTCATCTTCGGGTCAATGAGCCCAAACCTGCATGGGCATGCAGTAAATCCTCACTTGCCTTTCATGAGGAGACGGATAACATCCGTCTTCAGTCCCGCATAAAACCGTCTCGGTGACGAGTCTTCCTGACCCCCATGCACTCCCTGCACTTACCCTTCTTTTCTTCCACAGCAAAAACTCGGCATATCCGTTCTTGTTCCTTCTTCTGTCGTTCGTATCACCTCGGCGAAACAACTCCCGCACCTGTTCCTCTATCGGTGGCTCATCTTCATCGGAGGGATCTGCATCATCTTCCCCGTTACCTGCTTCGGCTGATGAGGGGAGAAATCGTGGGATTGACGTCACCTATGACCTCTGACCCTGCCATGGACTCCATGTACAAGTGCATGTACCTGCACATGATGTGGCTGCTTTAGTGCGTATTATTTTCTATACTTGGGAATCCGTTGTGCCAACATTTCAAGGTTGACGTAATGTAGGGCTGGTTTGGACAGTGTATGAAATTAGGCCAAAAAGTGGTCAGATGGGACATCCTGGCACTATCAATGTTGTTCTCTTGATTAAACATACCGGTGCGTGCATTTACATGGTCTCATGACCGGACATGCTGTCACAGTTTTAATGTCATGTTTTCATTTTTACCTGCATGTCAGTTACCAGCAGTACTTTTCTTTAAGGGCTTTAATATCTTCACATTTCCTTTACATTTTGTTTGACCGTATCTGTTTTAGGTCAGACTAGTACCTAAAGCAGTTGGAAAAAGGCCAATGTCTGACCACAATGTCATGCTCTTGTTGGAACCTGGAGATACCCACGATGATCAACAGTGAACATTTCTACTAAAAGTAAACTTGAGGCAAAAACTACTAGACCGGCAAATGGTAAAAGGGAAAGGTATTAAAAAACGAGACAATTTCATCTGACACATGAACGCACATACAGCTCAAAATTAAAGTCCAAAGTATTTACAAAGATAATTTGATGAAGCTGGAATGCATTCACTTTTATGTGACTGTACTGTACATGTAGGCTGTGCTGGTGTATGCTTACCATGACATGAAAGGTTGTGCCAAGTGCACACTAACCCAATGATACAAATTGAACTGTGGAAGTGACGACATCAAGCTTTCGGTGTGGTAAGGAGCGGATTGCTGATGCTACAAGTAAAAATCGTCTACTGACTTCATGACGACTGTAATATCCAACTCGGTATGATGGTCCAAGACATGGTTTCATGGTTATTATTGTACCTTGACTAAGCTCAACGAAATCACTTAATTTAGTACTTGTATTATTGTGGGAGGAGGTAAGGACTGATACCATGAAAGCAGTGCCGACTTACCCTGCAACATTTGTCTGCGCAGCCTACGCATGGCACGTATCATTGCCACTTGTTGCTGTGGGGGCTCTTGTTGTGGATTGGCTTGATTCATCTTGCGTTACGCTAGTGAAGTCCAAGTGTCCTACCCAAGCTGCAAGACCGAATATTGGAAGCAGCAATTGTAAAAACTATTCTACCTACTACCTACCCTATCTGCCACAAAACACAACTCTTTAACCCCAACAGTCCTCAGTCCTCCAACAGGTGAAGGATTGAGGACTGTGACCGTATAGTCACTGGGGGGCCGATTCACGAAACTCATCTTATCTTGCAACTTATCTTACGGCTTATTGGTCCCAACTGTAAGATTGATCTTTGCTAAGAAGGGTTCCAAGATTGATTTCACCAAACCCATCTAAAGAAAGATGGGTCATAAGTAGAAATTTGGGGGCTGTTTCATGTTTCTTTGTACCCTTTGATGAAAACAGTTGTTGAAAATATAGGGAAAGCCTAAACACGAACGTGTGGAAGAACAGTTGACTCACATGTATGCTTCTCATCATTTTGATAATTTGATTTTAAAATGATAAATAGGGTTTCCCGTACCATTAGATTTTTGAGTATTTCATTTTAATTAAAACTACCTTTTTTGTAAATGATAACACTTTTCAAGTCTGTTCCTGCAGCTAGTTTTCATCCCACAAAACTGTTACAAATTATAGCTCCAGGACAATACTCCTCTTTCACTTCGACAATAATTACTGCATGCATTAATGAGATAAGACGACCCTCAGACCAATCTTAAGTTAGGAAGAGTTTTTGAAGAAGTTAGGACTTGCATGTGTCCTAAAGTTTAGTGAAATTGATCCCAAGATGAGTTGTAAGATAAGACAAGTTACCCTTCTTAATGCACATCCTAACGTTTCATGAAATCGGCCCTAATTTTGCCACCTAATGTCAAGTCTGATTGGTTTTCATAGTAAGTGGCAAAATAAAGGACCTACATGTAGCAACTATACCGTCATGTATTTTCAACTGCCTAAACTAGTACACATTTTCTGACAATGTTCTCCCCTTCATCACTTGTGTATAAGGAAGATGTTTCAAGGTTGAAAAGGCATAAATCAGTTGCGGCTTTTTCAACAACCCCTGCACTACTTTGTAAAAAGATTTTAAAAACTGCAGTTGCTATTGTTACAGAAGTTCAGACAGGTTTCTGTCTACTTTCTTTCACCAGTCGGGAGCATTTGGAAACAGCAACTAAAGCACTACAACATGGATCTTCAGACTATTATTTCCTTTGTAAACATCCTCAAGAGGTATGACTCTACTAAAAAAGAAAAGAAAAACAAGTATAGAAAGTGCACATGTGATCCGATGGAGAAAATTTAAGAAAGAAAAAAAAAGGAAGAAAAATCTCCCAACGAGTGGGCTTGATCCTATATGTCAGGATTGCAGACCAGCATGCATACTGATGGGCCACCGCAATGCCACGATGGTATTGGGAAATTGGCAATGATAATTGAGCAATCCCATAACTACAGAATTTGAAAGTCAGGTTACGGTTCCTGTAAAAAATCCAGTGGAACAAAATTGAACAGGTTCCCCAAAAGTAACACTGGGTAAAGATTGCCATGACCACACTGTTATTGTCCGGAATAATGTTACATCCCGACAATGGTATCAGTCCCAACTGCAATCAGGACTGTCCCAAATACGGCGTTGTTGATGCGCTGGCCCAACTGTGGTCGCCTAATTTCCGTAGAAAGTTTCTCAACTTTTTCCTTTAACTTTTGTACAAGTTTTGCAGCTGGCTCACGCCAAGAGTTTATCCAAATTACATGTTTAGCACCAACAAGTGTCAATGCACACAACTTGTAGCGTCAACAAAGCGTCAACTTGAAAATACCCTCTGAAAATTTAAAATGGGTATTGTCATATTTTAGAGACTCTAACATCTGCCACTGTGTAAGCTGTGAATTTGTTTCGAAATTCTGGCAGGAAACAAAAAATCCTGTAGGGGGGCTACCATTCTTCCTTTCCTCTGCCGTCCACACGAAAACAAAATGGCTGCCGGTCAAGTTGCACGAGCAGGCCGACTTTGTCACTCCAATTTCCACACAAAATATCATTTTTGATAACATTGAATAGGATATGTAGCAGACTAATTTATATTGTAAATAGGCCTTTAAAACATTTTCATAATGCCTGAATAACTTGATGACGCTTGTTGATGTTAAACACAATCTTGAACCTTGCACAAATCTTTGTTAGTTCTGTACTCCTTTCTGAGTTGATCGTATGAATGGATGTTATTCAAAGGCAACGGCAACTCAGGATGGAGGTCAAATTTGCGCAAGGTTCAAGACTGCTCAACACTGACACTAAGGCTACATAAACAGACCCAATACATGCCATATGCCAATCTAAAACACAAGTTTAGGACGTTAATTATGCCAGGGCTTCAGATATTGCCACTGCTGATTCCCGCCACGCACTATGCAGATATGCATTCCTGCAGGAAGCCCAGCCCACTTGCATGAGATTGCCTGCGCACTGATGTTCACCCACCGCTGCAGGTGCACCACCAAGTTAATACACGGGTTTGTATGGGGTTGCGCATGACGGGCGAGTCGCGTTCTGGTCGCGTCTCCTACGACTACATCTTCGAATTTTGATCATATGATGAAGAGCCATAGCCAGTGTTCAATACTAGTGGATGTTGTAGTCTCACATGGAGACACTGCAGGGCACATTGCCAACATAGCACGCATAGTGTGCAACATAAACCGTTCAAAATATTTAATACAATATATAAATATATTATAATATTTCAATACACTACATAAAAGCAAAAAGTGCTACATTCTTTAAAAACGTGATATTAAGTCATATTCTGCAATATCGTCATTTAGTGTCCACAGAAGCCAGTATTGATCCATCAAAAATCATAAAGCAATTTTTATCGTTACCACTTAATCTTACTGAATTCTATAGAACTATTCGAATATCAACTCGACTTTCCGTAAAGTGATGACTTGCTGTATCATAAAGCAAAACTAGGCCTACATAGTGGAGGGAATGAACATACGTGTACCACCCTAGCCCGAAAAGTGTGGCACGGACTCTCCCTTCCGCTCCATCAGGCATCCTAGCACAGAGCCACACTAGTGGGGCTAGTACGAACCCAGAATTGTAATGTGTCGGGTTCAACATCCGCCACGCCGCCGGCATGCACCTGGCGGCGCACGACCGTTTGCAGCAGGCTGTCGAACCCCACGCCTCTGCAGGTTTATCTACATAGAACAATGTATACATGTAGTAATTGCCTGTGTACGTACGTGTGCAGCGGTTAAAATGCTAACATCCTGAACATCCGTGTTTCTTTAACTTACCACACAACAGGTTAGAGTTAAAATCATCAATCGTTCTCACACAACAGGCTCATCAAATGACCACGCGCACGCTGTCGACAAGTCATGGTCATAAGCTTTATGCATGAGCGTGCCAAATACCCAGACGTACCTACACCAAGCGGCGGGAGATACGCGTACACGTAGTTAAAAGACACACCAAACGTATTCCTTATGTGGCAAGGGACAGGGGCCCGACTCACACGCTTCAGTGAACAACTGCAGCCCGGGGCTAGGCTATGGCCAGCGGAGCCGCGCTGTCTAGTCTAGTTCCACAAACCGCCTTGACTATGACAAATTAATCAATCAAAAACACCAGAATCAGGTACCAGTCAAATCAAAGCAATTTCACCATCTTCCCATTTTAAGTTAATTCTCTTGGGGGGGGGGGGTTACTCGACAGATAATCACTGAAAAATGATGTCTCAACTCCATTACAAAAAAATTTTGGCACAGTTTCATCCAACTTCCGCAGAAATGCAAGTCAGTCCTGCCTGTAGCTTCCGCTCTTCAGTAGCGATGGGCGGGTGGGGATGGGGATATTAAGATATTGTTTTCTAAAAACTACAATCCAATGTTTTTCCATCTGTTACAGACTCCTCATGACGTGCAAAAAGATTGTAAAACCATCTCTAAAGTGTTAACACTTTCAATTCCTAAACATCACTGCCATCCTCATCTTTTGGGGCTTTTTAATACATGCGTCACACCACGAAGTCCACACATCCCTGTTTCCTTCCTCCACGCTCTAACAGAACAGCAGAAAATTTTACTGAGCATGCGGGGCATAAAGGTCATAATTTGGCCTTGCATAGTCCATCTCTGGCTTCTTTGCTGGCTTCAAACTTTGACCGTAAACCATATGTTACATTGTGACCGCATCATTTATAATCAGCAGAAATTAGTACAAATGTGTCAAGTGACAATCTTTGCCAGCTTGCCTACATGTACTCTGTGAAGTGCATCTCCAACAAAAATCAGAATCTTACTGAATAACTATAACCTGGTACGTGTACTTTTACCCGACCCAGTGTTTACTTTATCTCAGATAATTTTGAATTCGATTTCCTCCTAAAAGACTTTACGATAACAAAACTGAAACGATGAAGCACACAAATGCAAACACCCAGATATAACACACTTTCTTGAGTTAATTATTTCACAAACTCTTTGACAATTTATTGTTACAAATGACATTAAATAATACAACAAATGACACGGTGCACGTATTTCTCCCTCTTTCAATCTATCAATGTTACATACAAGTTGATCTGTTCTGTACAAAGGTACAACGGTGCTATTAAATGTGTAATTGTTGAAGAACGGCACTGAAGCAAGTTGAACGCTTGATACTGTTCCGAAGGGATAGTTTTGAGGGCTGTTCAAACAGAATTTATACTAGGACTAACTTTCTGATGTGTAGTTTCCTACAAGTCTCCCGAAAACTTTTTAAGTTAAAGTACAATTTAGCAAAAGCATTCATTTTACCACAAGGGGTCTGGGTTGAAGACTTGTATCATACAACTTGGACTTGACTCAAGTCACTGTTTTTGTGACTGGTGACTGGACTTGGACTAATAAATAATTACATACTGCCAAGTCTGCCTAAAGCAGCACTGAAGTGCACGGGGGATTTGAACAGTAAAGCAATCGTGTACTAATGAAACGATTCAAGTTCACTTGTCCATAACTCATACAACACTTAAGTCGATGCCTTGGCCTGGTGGCTTATTACAGATGGACTTAAGATTATCTGACCCGACGTGTACTTTGACAATGAAACTTGTCATGTCGGCAAAGGTTATGTAGTTTCACAAGCCATAGCCTATCAGTGACTTAGTAGTCAAAGCGGAAGTTACGAAATTCCATTAAAAAATGATGCAAGTTCTAAACACGTTAATTTCTTGAAGAGAGAGAAAAAAAGAATAGTGCAAAACAATGTTATGATACGTGAAAAGGGTCTTAAGTTTTAGTAGAAACTGGAGTTTTACATGCTGACAAGAACAATTCTGTCAGGCTTAAAGACTCATTGATATGCAAACAGAATATCTGTGTTAAGAAGCAAAGATCGTATAGTGCCGCGTAGTGGTGCAAGATGGCGAACTTCACTGTGAATACACGTAAAACGTTGTAATCACATGGGCGCCATTTCAGCAAGCGATATGCCTGCGCAATGCACATTAATGCACAAGCGCAGGCACCACGGCAGGCACGTACACCTGGTGAGCCTGCGCCGAAGCATTACTGTAAACTGCGCAGGCGTATCACTTGCTCAAATGGCGCCCATGGTGATTACATGCATGCCTTTTGGGCAGAGTTACCCATCATGCGCCTTTGGCGCTATACAATCTTTGGCAAGAAGTACGCTGAGATTAATTGTTAGCAAGATAAAGATGAAAAAAAAAACAAACAGGTAAAGAGTACTTTACTTCAGCTGGGAAACAGGACATAAAACCAATAGTGGTTTTATGTCAATGTCAAGCTAAGGGAAGGATTAACCCACGTACACAACCTCTCGGGAATATACATACTCTGGTTTCTCTTCCCAGACGTAAGGTGCGAACAAATAGATCCCATCAGCTGAGGCGCGCTTTGCACCCTTGTCTACGGTCCCACTGTGGTTGATTATTATGGGATTCGGCGTGTCCTCACGAGACTTAACACACCAGACAATGCGGTATTTCTCACTGACATGCTCCCATCTGGGGATGAAAAGGGCTTGCACGCGCCAATTCCCGCCAGGGCTTTCTTGTCGGCACATGATGCTCACCTCCCAGGCTTCGTTGTCGGCCTGGCGGTACAGGCCCCCTTTCTGTTGCCTCCTCCGCCATGTCTGGGCGCGGCGATCCGAGTAGTTACTGCTGAGATGGTTGACCCGGGCCCGTGTGAAGATGTCCTTCTTGGCCTCCTTGATGCTGGACAGTTTCCCACCAGGGGGAACGAACTTGAGGTAGAAGCGGGGTGGGACAAAGCCACACTCTGACACCTCGGTAAAGTCCACTTCCTCTGAGGCTAGGGCACGGACTCGCAGGGCCTCGGTGACTATCTCGGGGTACTTCTGGGATATCTGTACGCCCAGCCGGGACTTGCCAAACTGCTGAAGCTGCCAGATCGTCATGTTGGAGAAGCGAATCTGAGGCAAGATCTTCTCCAGACTGTCCCACAGGTTATCATCAGTGACCTGCTCCGATCTGATCCAGGTTTCGATCTGAATCACAGAAATGGAAACAAGTCCTAAGAACTTTAACACTTGTGCCGTGTAGATGTAAAGATTTTACAGATCTCTTTTTTAATGAAATGCAAGCATTTGAAAAAAAGGAAGACTGTCAATGTGAAAATAATTCTATGTTTGCTCTGAAACATCATTACTTCCGGTAAACACTGCTCTGCTCATAAAAACACTCAAAACAATCTACATAAAGGCAGAATGTGTGTACCTTTAAAAATAGAGCATACTCATCCTCTATGACAACATCAGAGCTCTCAATGACAGACATTAACTGGTCCAACCGCTGTGCCTGCCAGGCACTGTCAGGAATGTATTGGACGTAGGCCCTCAGAACTTTGAGGCAGCTCTCCCGGAGAAATGTAAGGTTCTTCTCCTCTGCTTCTCTGAGCCACTCCAGGGCTCCGTCGATGTTGTGCTGGCCAACCTCTTTGCTGATGAACTGCTCGCAGATCTCCTGCAGTGCCTGGATCCCGTACACCTGGGCCAGGTTCAGGACCACCTTGACTGTTGCCGAGGTCAGGTCCGCCTTGCCCGAGTACAGGAACCGTAGAAACTGCTGGAAGGCGGCGTCGGAATCCTCAGAGCTGCTGCCTCCGACCACATCCTCGTCGAGGTCCAGCAGGAAGGGCTGGCCCGTTTCTGCCCCGGCGCCACCCAGCCTTGGAGCCTTGGCCATCTTCTCCTCTAACTTTGAGCTCCAGGCCCCCAGGATCAGTCTGTGGGCGCGATACTGCTTTCCATCAAAACACAGCACCACGTCTGACAGTTCGGTCTGGTTCATGAATTTCTCAATATAGTGGCTGAGTGCTCCAAGCTTCCTACAAGTCTTTTTGCTCGGTTCATTGTCCTCATTATCCTGTTCAAACACGAGACACCAAAATTTATTTCCCACTATAAAAGAAGCAAAATGGAAACTCTACCACTTGTGTACATGTACACAGGCCCTTCCGTACAAAGCATTGACAGTACACTTTCATCATTCATAAAGGAGAAAATGAGAGACATCTGTTGAAAGAGACATGTAGAGCCTCAAACTGGCAGCTTGTACAATTGAGTCAGAATCGCTTTATCCAATCGCATAGTATAAGAACTAACGCAGCACTTGCAAGATGACATAAGCAACATACACGGAAATCACTGAACCAGCTACATGTACATATATACTGATTGTGTAAAGCTGCCAGGTTGAAGCTCTGCATGCCTATGGCGTCAGCATTCAAAGAGCGAATAGCTTTGCATTGTTGGGTTAAAACACAAGCAAGCTCTGGCTGTGTGAATGGATTTGACGCACGAACACATTCTCGTAGTTTTACGAACCTACATAGTGACACAATATGAAATAGTGTCTGTGTTGCAATATCTCTTGTTCTGCGTGGCAATGCGGGCAAATTCACAATACAGTGCACAACCAAGAAACACAACCAGAAAAGCCATTTTTTGCAGTGCCTCTTGGAAGACGGTTGACAAATTCCGTTTGCTGGCTTAGCATGGGAAAATTGAATTATTCCCATTGTTTGTTTGTCAGGGAAGAAGATTCGTAAGGACATTTCAAGTTGCAGTTTCGACGTATCCTTTCTTCTTTTTGTAAAGGATACAAGTGCGCCCCCATTGTTGAGAAAAGTTTGCTGTCCGACTAATTTTGCATATTAATTTGTAGACCTATTTGCTCCTTGTACAGCTTCCAGACAATTAATCCTAAGTTCTAGTAATTTTTCGGATACTTGATTCATTGACTGTAAGATATCCTGTTATGTTTAAACTCTTTAGCTTCAAAGTTTGATGCTTACAAACTACGTTGCCTGGAAGACTGGTTATGGTTGAACTGTGTTTGGCGTAGTAATATATGCAGGACAACTTTGGTGATGTGGCCAGTTCCTTGTCCTTTTTACCTTCTTGGAACGTCTGTAAGCACACTGTGCTATTTTTTTGTTACTTTAACTTCTGTTTATTCTAATTCTGTGCCAGAAACATGGCTTGGCCATAGCCATCATGCTCCCTGTTTAGAGAATCTACTCAGGGAACCCCAGGTAACTAAAGTCCACAAATGAGTTGATGGTTGTCTGCTAGGTCTAAGTAAATTCCTGTCACATGTAATTCATTTCTGATGCAATGATCATCAGTGAGTGGTCGTCTGCATTAATTTGGGGATGGGATCTCCACAATTCAGCATTGAGCTGTCCCTGTTCCATTAATTTCTATTGTATACAATGTCTCAGTCTATAAAAAATTTCCTTAAGTTGTCTACTGACATACGCTTAAATACACATTACAGCAAAGTGGACATCCTTGACTGTAAACAAGGAAAATGGTTTTGCCATGGCAACTTCTTGGTGGTGCACTGAGTTGTAAACTGCGTCTATTTTTTGGCAAGAGAGAATTCTACACTCGAGAACTCTTTGAACAACTATGGTATGACTCACTTTTGGTGGATCAATGGTGACATCCTGGACCTCCATCTCTGTCTCGGAACTCATTGTGAGTATCTGCAAAGTAACCAATTCCACACTTACAAGTGTTGGCCTAAGTAGAAAAATGGTGACGGGTGCAATTAGTTGATATCTGCATGATCAGTCAACCTTACTCTCTGGTCTGTCAGTGACTTTACCTTCCATGTTTAATTCACAGTTGTGGAAGACTGTTCCAAAAAAGGAAAGCAAAGTTAAAGATTTCACACACAAGACATGGGCAGAGGTCTGTAAATGTTTACCCAGCAATTTGCCATTGATAGACGTGTGGCCAGGGATACATTTAGGTAAGTCTCCAGACTACACTCAGTCATGGGACTACATGACTATTTGCTCTGTTGATCCGGTGAGTGTTAACTTAGCAGGCTTCATCTGGCTAATCATCCTGGCTAGCCACGAGCCTAACACTGGATATTTCAGGCTACAGAAAATCTGTCTCAAGAATAAATGTCATGACATGTCATGTTATGCTAACATGAATAGTAGCATGAATAACTCTAGAGTGGTGAACTGTGAAGACAAAATGACATGTATGATGTATCCCGGGAAAATGGGCTGGGGAAATGCCTTTACCAGGGTAGTTCTCCTTCCTTACCCCCAGAACTGTGGGGTCCAATGTCGGACCCGCTTCCACTCGGACCCCCGCAGTTCTGGGGGTACTCTTTCCCTGGATGGACAGTTTAACCAGGAGACAGACCCAATGGATTTAGGCTTATTGTCTAAAGGCCAATTCACAAGTGAATGTGTGATGTGACGTGTGCAAGCAAATTTCACGCAACAAAAGATTCGCAGCAAAATTTTGCTTCAGTCTGTCAGTTGAGTTGATCAACTATTGCGAATTCACATCACAGCATAAAGACTTGATCTAACGTCACAAATTCACGTTTGTGTTCATTTTCCTAGTAAGTATGAAGCAGCCTTAATGCTACCGTACCATTACCAATATTAAAGTTATAGCTTACATTACGTAACACCCAGCACGACTCACCGGAAAGCCACGCACGTGATTCTTCAATTTTCGCTGACGGTTAACTTCTTCCAAACTCTGAAGTACAGGACTTGGCGCACTGTTTCAAGTCAAGTAAGAAGTACCTACGCGGGTTTAGAGAAGCTTACAGACGCACGTCTGTCTCCAACAGTAAAATCATACAGATGACGGAACAGTAACCTGAGTAACATGGAACAAGCAGAGTTATCGCTTTTCCAACAGCATAATTTCGATAGGGGTCCGTACGTCCTGGAAAACCTGTACATGTACGTACGCAACACGCTGTCTTCCATCCAGACCCTACGTCTTTTGTCGGGAATTTTTCTGAGCACGCAATTTTGTAAACAGCGCCACCAATAGTTAGACTTATGTATCTAAGTATGGAGAGCCTTGGAAAATTTAGAAAAAAGAAACTGTGGGGAGAGATACACGCGTACGAACTTGGTACATGTACTGTACATGTACATGTAAATTCACAATGAAGAAGGGGTGGCTGAAAGTTAGTGTCCAACCAATCGATAAAACTGTCTATCAAGTGACTTTAGAAGGTATTTGCAAGCCTGAGTCAGGGTAAAATTTGAGTAGGTCAATGCACCGACACCCAGCAGATCACCAGCAGGAACCCTCCAGAAAGGTATTAGCCATACGGGCTTGAGCTAAGTTGATGTTGCTCATTGATGTGGGGCAAAGCTGTCACTAAATATCCAGCGGTCCGTAGACACATTGAAATTAACTTGATTCGTGGATCCGTCAACTCATCAAATTGTTGATTTTTATCGGTCCATCCATCGGACCATCCGCGTGATGACATGATATTGAACTCCCCCTGTCAAAATGGAATTAAAAAGATTTGAATGAGAATTCTAAAAAGAAATTGTAATTTAAAAACAAATTCGGATTAATGTCGTCTTTGTCCTAAAATAAATGAACAGTTTAATTGTAATGCTTTAAAGAAACAATTCTTCTTGGCGTCACTTTTTTCTCAACGTACTTGACCAAGCTCTTCCAGACGAGGGAGAGCATGGTTAGTGTAATAAGACACTGTTCCGTCAGTTCGCATGTCTTAATATTCGAATTTGGAACCCCAAGTTTGATTTTCGAAAACATTTTTGAAAAAAAGGTTGCTCGCTAATTACCAAAGGATATAGAAATCTTCAGTAGCAGAGTATGAATCTAGCAGTTTTGTGCACAAATTAATGCAACAATGAGGTTCATTGCCTCGGACTACGTCACAATTTTGATCATGAATATACAAGCATAAACCAAAAAGGCCCCTAAAAACAGATTGACTAATAGGAAAACAAATATGTAAAATAAGTTCATCGAAACACAAATGTGCAATTTCTAGGTTTTTGTAAAATATTTCTATTACATTTTCCCTTTAAATGTTGAAACATGAAAGCGTACTGGCCTTGGAGTAAATATAAAAGAAATAAAATGAAATAAAGATGAAATATTTTATTTTCGATAGAATATTCGGGGGAAAATGCATGTTCAATTCATCAGGAATCAACTGTTTGTGGACAAAAATAGTTTCTGTGATCCGTCTATTTTTAAGCTTTGGCTTTCCATAGCACGTACAACATGACATCGACATCATAAATTGCAACGTACAGTACACTATACTACACGCCATCGGTCGTCGTGCTAGTGTCTGTATATTGCAACCACCGTGCTTTGACTTTTCAGAAGTTTGAGAAGTGTTTTAGTTGTTGAATATACAGTAAGTGGAAACAATTTATCCATTTTTGAAGTATGTCCACGTGTTTTTACATTTTACTGATTCTTGTTTTCCTTGGCCATGTTCAATGATGTTGGCTTTTGTTGTTACCTTTCGCAAGCTAATTTCCATCAGTACGTGTCATGCATGCGTACATGTACATGTACTTACACGTGCCGGTTGATGAGGCAAGGTGACATCATTATTTAAATATGTACCGGTACTTTCCAGTTCTGTGTAGAGGTGCCTCTTCATTCCAAATATTAACTAGCATTGCCTTATACGGTTTACTCACATGTAATGCCGACTACGTGTTTTGTGTTCTAAACTAGAGCCTTCTTGTGCCGCATGCCTCTGAATATAGTTTAGAGTTAGTAAAACTTCATCAAACTCCCGTTATTCCATGGAGGTACCTCCATGGTTATTCTGATTCATAAATCTCAATTTTGTGTATCCGCTAAAAACTTTTGATGAGATTTTATTTTTATCCTATTTTCCAAAATTTTTTCTGACACCCAAAATGAACGCTTTTAGGATATGAAAATAATTTTCTGACATGTTTGTGGAAGGGTAGGTGAGCAGAAGGAATGATGCTTTACAAGAGTTTATTAACTTTAAAGAATTTGACAATGTTTATGTGGGATTTTCTGAGATTTTTTTCAAGTGAGCCATGTCAGGGAACACTCAGCTGAATAAACCTTTTTGACGTTCGCAATGCATTATGGGTGTGGATGACAAATAAGAGATGCATTTTATACACAACCCTATTTGGGAAGTGAACCAGTCAAAAATCAAGTGACAATTTTCCGCTAAATATTCTTCATGTATCTGTTCATCAACTCACTGATGCATGTGTATTGTCAGATTATACAAGAATCTTTCAAATATGTTTTCAAATATTTGTAAGAACAAATCACCATTAATTGCCTTTTTTAAGGGCACCAGTCAATCTACAGGCTGAAAATGAACGTGACTGGTCAAAACGGTATGAATGAGCTGCAACTCGTAATATTTATTGGACAATAATATTTACGAATTAGTCAAAGCATGGTTTGTGACAAAAAAGTGGTGTTGTTGGAAGGAATTCTCCGAATTTTCCTTCCCTGCCAAACTTTAAACTTCAAAGTTTGTGGATATCTTCGTCCTAAATCAATAATGCAACACTTGGTCAGAAGGGGGTTGCTTGAATTGGAGTATGAAATAAAATGGAAACAGATTAATGTTTTGCAGGTACACTGCTCCCGTAGCAGTATAAAATGCATTGCATGTATTACGAACATCAAAAAGGTTTATTCAAGCCCAATTTCTGGATGCCGACATTTTTGGTTTTGGGATGAAATTTCACCGTCCCTGACATGACATCTGTGGTCAGAATGGGTTGGAAAATGGCTGATTATATGTGATAATCCCAAGTCCAGCCATATTTTCATACTCTGCATTTGCTTAAGCATGGAACTGCAGATGGCATGAATAAGCCATTTGTGAGTTAAATTTGAATAAAATCTGGTACTCTGAGTTATCTGGTTGCACATAAATATTACAATTTGAATTCCCCAGACTAAAAACACTGTTGCGATACCTCGTGATTCAGGGCAAGCTTTCGCCTAGCGACCACCATCTCTGGAATGGACTGGTTCCTTTTTGCCCTTCTTATCCATTGAGAACAGTGTATTGTTGCAAGGCGTCTCTTATGTAACTAAGCAAAAGCTTTCCCTGAATCACGAGGTATAGCAACATTGATTTTAGTCGGGAGAATTCAAGTTGTTCTGTTCACATGAATTAAAAGAACTCAGTGTATGAGATTTGGGTCAAAGTTAACTCGCAAAAGGCTTATTGACCAGTTGTGGAAAAGAATCTTTCTTTATTTGCAAGAAGACTGAAATCTTGGGGGGGTGGGAGTTTGTTTCATTGTTTCCATTGGTTCAAGATGGAGCTAAAGTATTTATGGGTATGTTTGAAACTTTCAATCTTTTCCCAAAAAGTCAAATGATTATAAAGTCAGTTTTCCTTGCAAAGTTATTTGTTCACAGTTCTCAGGAAGACAAGACACGCGTTCTGATGCAGTCATAATGTTTGACGACTATGATGACTATGTTGATGACGACGATGAGTTTCTGTATGAAGCTGGGTCAGATGATGACGAGTATTTCATGAATCGAGATGGAGATCTCATCTTCCCGGGAGACTGCTACGATGCAGGATTGGAACGCTTTCACATATTGGTGGTGCCATCGGCGTCTGGGGATCCCCTGAAAAGTGAAAGCTCTAAAAGAGATGAAGCTAAGGTAGGTTATAGCACAGAGGACAAAAATATTAACAAGAGATGGTACCATTCACCGGCGCTGACATTGACCAAGACAGTAATGTAGGTCTGAGCAAAATGTATGAAACAAATATACATGTTTAGTTTTCAGTTTGAATATTCTTCAGTGCAGTACATCGTAATAAGGGAAAAACTTTGTTCTTTGTAACCGCATTGCCTCTTAATGCCTAATGCCAAACAAAGTAGTTGTGCTTTACGCTATCAATTAATTAAAGTTACTGTAATGATTAAAATTTGTTATTTGTGCATAACTAAAAACTGCTTCTCTAGGCTAATGATTCACAGTAAATATCATAGAGTTGCTGGACGAATACTCAAATAATCAGTCATTTTATCTTACTCAGCCCTACATCAACGTTTACATGATAATAAAAACTAAGGACTTTTATAGGATTGGAAGGAGAAGATGACATCATGACACTAACAAGATGAGGTTTATGACCAAAAAAAGGTGTAGGGATGAGAGTGGTTAGGATAATGATAACAGAACGATTGTTACGACAGTAATGACAACAGCAGTGATTACATGTATTTGGGCTGGGGGAAATGGGAGGGACAGAAGTAATTATGAAGGAGGAGTTTGATTATTATGTGAAAGTTTGCACAGGTTTACTCTGTCTCATTTCTTACACAGAAAGAGCTTCTTGCCAAAAATAAGGGCCTTGTGGCTGATAAACTGTCAAGATTTATGAACGATCCAAAATACAGCGATGTAACACTGCAAGTTGGCCCTCACCATTTCCATGCTCACAAGATCGTCTTGTGCTCCTGGAGCGAGGTGTTCCTCAAGATGTTCACCGACCCCTCTTGGACCAGCCCTCACCGAGGAGAATCCAACGGCCCTGGTCCGGAGTTTCAGGTGCTGGTGGAGCCTGACGATTGTGTGGACGTCTTCTCAGTCTTTCTCAAGTTCATGTACTCAGAGACAGTGGTGCTGAACTTGGAGAGCGTTTTCCCCGTCCTGACACTGGCCGACAAGTACATGGTCCAGGAGCTGCGCGACGCATGCGAGGATTTCCTGCTGGAAAGGGTGGCCAACATCAGTGGTGAGGAGGCAGTCAAGGCCTACAAAGACGCCGAGAGACTTAGTCTTGCAAGGGTACAGGAGCAGTGCCTCAGGATTCTGGAGGCCAACATCAGTTACCTCAGGGAGAGTTGCGTGCAGAGCATGCCTGCGGAACTGTTGCTGAGGCTGGTGGCCAGCCCCGACCTCGTTGTGGAGGATGAAAAAGATGTGTACAACATGGCGTTGCAGTGGATGAATGCAGAGGGGCAGCAGGTGACGCGGAAAGAGCATGCTGAGGAGATCTTCAGCCTCATCCGCTTCCCACACATGCCCTCCGCCAAGCTGAAGGATCTCATGGACACGCCGCTGCCTTCTTTCTTGCAGGCCGACTTCCAGGCCAAGGTGGCCGGCCTGGTGGCCAAAGCCTTTGAGTGGCGAGCCCTGGCAGCAGAAGAAGCCTACACTGTCATGGAGGAGGACTTCATCCAGCCTCGCTTGTACAGGAACCAAGCGTTCTCCTTGCATTGGTCCAGTAGCTTCGTAAGTAAGGTCACGGCCACGCCAGACACCTTCCGCAAGCTGATCCTGTCTGAGGAACACCAAGATGATTACTACCACAATAAGCTTAACTTCCGGGTAGCCAGCCAGGCAGAGAAGAACGTCTACAAGTACGGCAAAGGCGCCTGGGAGGTCAGTGCGGTCCCCACCAAGGATGCTGACTCGGACCTGTGGGGGGTCAGCTACGTCATCCAGACGGGTCAGCACATTGGCAACCAGTATCGCGTGGCGCTGGTAACCCGCCTGACCGAGGAGGAAGACATGGAGGTCAGCCCTGTCATCACAGTGCATCACGGGACCGTCGAGGGGAAATTCATTCTCAAGGTCCCCCCGCCTCTCCTAAATCAGACGGAGAAGCCAACCAAAGTGTGGTCCGTGATTGTGGCCTTGGTAGAGGCCAAGAGTGAACCATCCCTACCGATAAATGCTTGGGTGAAAGAATTGAAAGAATAAGTATGAGCTGGCTTTGATGCCAAATCTTCCCAGATCTTTGCCTGTCTTTTTAGTTTTTGGCCGGATCACCGATAACAGGACATTTACTCATATCCTGGTATTTTCCAAAATAATAAATACCACTCAACAGTGTTACTCTGTCATTCAGTGCATAATTTCTCTGCTTTGAATCAAAAATGTGTTACTAAGGACAGATGCGGAATCAAATTCTTGTTTTGAGGGGCCAACTTGTTTTAGGGAAGGGGTCCCAAAAATTTGGAATTTTTCCATGTAATTTTTTTGCCATTTCTGAGGGGCTTTTTCCATAGGTTTCTTTCTTTTTTTTTTAGGAGGAAAATGAAATAGACCAAAAGAAATAGCCTTTTGTCATCTAAAAGCAAAAAAATGATTTTAGGGGGAAGCATGGATCCTATATATTGCCCCCCCCCCGATCTGCCCTTGTGTGTCAGTTTCTTTAAGCTTGGTTGGAAATCAAATATATATTTTCTGTTGCCATGAGGTTATCATTCCCGGTACTCCTGTATTGTAGTCAGTTTATTTACAAATTGCTAGACATATTTGTTTGAGATAATTTTTTCAATGATGCAGAGCAAAGGCATACACACAATCTTGGGCTGCTTAAATGCATACAAAAGACATTGAAATTGACAACCATGGCATCAGTATCTAGACAAATTAGCCATATTTTCAGAATTTTATTTGAAACTCTGAGAATAAAGTAATGGAAAATGTCTACTTAGCATACTAAAGATGCACTCAGAAGTGTTGTAAATGTGAAGCAGAGTCATGTTTTCCCTTTCAACGGATCGAAATCATTTGTTCGTGTTCAAGTCTTCCAACGCTTGTGAGTCTTTGTTCTCGGTCTTGGACTTACTTAAAGTCAAACATTAGCCAATTCAGTTGATCATTAAGGTGAATGATGTGTGTTTGTAATGTAGAAGAAATCAGAGTTGCTCATACTGTATGTTTTTCACCCACCACTTCATGCACTTTTTCCATTGTATTTCTGCAGTACTGAAGTGTTAAGCTTACCAAACTTGTTTTAAAAAATCTGTTCTTGTTTTGAAAGTCAAAACAAATGCAATCTTGAGGAAATAAATTTGCGTTTAAAAACTGAAGCTGATATGGAGTTTTTGTTAGCGCTAATTCAGTTTCATTTATGGCTATTTGCTTTCACCCTCTCTCCAGCCCCGCCCCCCCCCCAAAAGTTTTCTGGCCTCTTGAAGTGCTGCAAGTTGTTCCCCTCTGACAAAATGTAATCTTGTATTACAGGCTGTATCTCAGCATGCAAATGGTCAGCCCGCCCAAGGGAAGCCATTTCTGTAACAAAACACCCTCTCATGATCTATGTACAGTGTAGCAGAGAGAAGCAAAGGTAACTATGAGGTCCTGAGAGGGGGGGAGGGGTTAGGAGAAGCTACGGGGGCAGTGGCGGGTAGAATGCACGTCCATAATTACACTGTTCAAGTACCGACTTTTGTGCGTACTGCATGAATTGGGGAATACATCATCGGTTAAACAACAAAGGGTTTCATTCACAGCCCCCCCCCGGTAAAGACAAAAAATGTGAGGTAAAATAGTTAAATCAAGTTCGGGTGAAAAATAAATGCTCACTGTCAACTTACAAGGAAACGTGTACAATACTATAATACGTGATGTAGTTTATTTTGGTGAACCACATATTGCCAATGGAGGGCGCTATACTTCCCACCTGATTTTTTGATTGCTTGTTTGATCGATCGTGGTCGCGTGTGTTCGGGGAGATTCAGCTTTTCCGACGTTCAAATTAACTGTTCAGGTATGGTCGAGGTAAAGCACGATTAAGACTGTATGACTTTGAGGGTTTATGGGGAGTACGGCATTACAGGAGATGTACTGAAAAAGAATTATTTTTCTCTATTTTTCTTGGCTACCTCCCAGCCGGCGCGGCGTCCCACACCATGGAGGTAGACGTGCGGGCTAACGCGCAATTATATTTGATCAGCACGGTCGTGCGCTAGCAGTCGATCCTGTAAGAAATCTCTGATTTTTCTTTCCTTTCTAAAAACAGTCTTCAATATCCGAAGTAATCAAAACTTTAAAAGGCGATTGGCTGATCTGTAGATCTTGCAGTTAGATGGGCAGATCATGCTAAGAAGTAAGATCATGATCTTAATCATGTTGATCATGTTGATCGTGATGATCATCTTGATCATAATGATCATCATCAAGCGATTCAACTGATCACGCCTAATTGTGGACACCTTGGAGGAACGTCTTTTTTGGGTGTCTTCAGTGGACTTTCATGAACGATAAATTGATCTCTTTGTGATCTGTTGATCTAATTGCACAGTTTGCTTACCATGTGCATGTATTTTGCCATTAGTCATGGCTGTGGAAGATTGTTTTGAAAAGGCCCATTAATAAAAGGGAAGAAAAGTCAGGAATCTCACATATACTTGGGATGCAATCGCATTTTTGCACAATGCGATTGCATTGTCTTGCTGATGGATTGATCATGGTAGCCCTGTGAGTGTGGCTTGGATACTTGCCTTGCTTTATTCAAGGATACAGCAAGGCGAGTATGACCGTGCCAGACTTCATGGTTACGTGAAAAACTGAGATCAAAATCAGTGATACACTTAGCCATTCAGGAAAGAATTCATCATGTCATATTATATTAGTTATTAATTATTAAAATTCCTAGACTGTCATGGTGTGTCATTCTTGCATCACCTCAGCTAGATTTTCTTCGATCACTCAGTCTCACCCCTAATAATTTCACTTGGGAAAACTTTGAACTTGAATTGGATTAGGGCTATAGTTACTCCACCTTTAGCTTTACATGTTTTTTTGTACATGTTTTACACACAGATTTTAAAGTTTGAGAATCCTGGAAAGAAGGAAGTAGCTTGCCAATGGCAACAACCAAAGATGAGCCTAGAGGTCAGCAGAATGGCAGAACCATGGGTCAAACGTTGGACCTCTCCTCCACCAATCTGACAGAGTTTGCCATCAGCAAGAAAGAATTGAACACGTGCTCCACCCTGATACTGGACTACAATGCCCTTTCAGTTTTGTCCGAGGATGTCGGGGAAGTCTTGCAGAGCCTTAGTGCTCTCTCCCTGACTGGCAATCAGCTAAAGGAACTTCCCAGTTCCTTTGGAAAGCTTTGGAACCTGAAGGAACTCTCTCTGTCTGAAAACATCCTGACCTCCTTGCCCAAATCTCTCGAGGGCCTCTGTAGCTTAACAGTGCTGAAGCTGGTTGGAAATAAACTGAAAGAGTTGTCTGAAGATTTTGGAACCCTCAAGTCCCTGCGGAGGTTAGAACTAGATGAAAATGAGCTGACAACACTACCAGGATCATTTGGACTCCTTGAGAATTTGGAAATTTTGGAAGCAGCAGATAACTCCCTGGAAGCACTCCCGGCAAACTTCGGAGGCCTAAGACACTTGGAGGTTCTCAACTTGAGTAATAACCGTTTAGCTACTTTGCCTAGATCATTCGGGTCACTACCTTCACTCCGGAGGGTAGATCTGTCCAGTAATAAATTAGAAGAACTGATGGACTATTTTGATTCATGCCACTGCCTTGAAAAGCTCTTTCTGACAGGGAACAGATTGAGCACCCTTCCTGATTGGATCGGGAAACTTCCAAAACTCCAGGAGATCAGCCTCAGGGATAATCAGCTAGCGGCCAAGCCTCTGCCCGAAGCCTTTGGTGAAAGCAGCAGGGAAGGCCTGATGTACTTGGACATGTCCGGGAACTTTGTCATGGAGCTCCCGTCCACTCTCGGCCTGCTGACCCATCTAGACTTCCTCCACCTCGGCAGCGTGATCGGGGAGCTGGAACGACGCAACTTCCAGAACGGGAACTGGATTGAGAGGCTCCCGGATAACTTTGGCAATCTGACCCTCTTGCGGGAGCTCAGGGCTGAAGAGAACCAACTGAGCTGCCTGCCGGAGAATTTCGGGGATCTGGTCTCCTTAGAGTTCCTTGACCTGGGCCAGAACTTGCTGAGGAGACTTCCAGACTCCTTCAGCAAGTTGAAGAATTTGCGGGTCTGCTTGTTATCCAAGAACAACATTGAGTTGCTACCAGACAATTTTGGCCACTTGGACGGACTGTTGGACCTTCGACTGGATTGTAATAGAGTATGGCAATCAAACAAGTTTTCTTAAAGAAAATCAATCAAAAACTGTCCCGCATTGAATACAGTTTCTAATTTTCCACGTGGGAAAATCCTCATTTTGTGCAATTTTTTTGTGGACTGCATTGCCAGCCATCACGCTTTATTGAGTCATTGAATCTGTTCCTTGTATACTGTAACTTTTGACACCAAAACTGTCAAAACGAACATGCAGTGAAATCATCAGATCCCAGGCAAACAGTTCAGAGGCTTCTGGAAGCTTGTCTGCCTGATACCACGATACAATAGGTTTTCTTCCACTGCAAGAAATGAATCAGCTCTCTGAACTTGCATCCAGTGCCCATGTGTAGTGGTATACATGTTATGGGTTTGTGCACATTCAAATGACAATTGGTAGTGCATCTTCTGTGTGTGTGTGTGTGTGGGTGCAAAGTAGTGTGCACAAGCACCAGGTCCTGCTCATATTGGCTCTTGGGAGTTACCCACAAAGTATCATATGCTACTCCTGTGCAGAGATCATTAATTTCTTACATGAGTTCAAGTCATTAATTTTAAGTTTTTGGGGGGTTTGAAGTTACTGAGTTTTGCAGTGAACATTTTGGGCTTGTTTTTTCCTTGCACCCAGCTGACCAAGTTACCTGACTCCTTCACCAGACTCACCAACCTGGAGACCCTGGACCTATTTGACAACCACCTAATTGAGTTGCCTGAGGTGTTGAAGTACTTGCACAAGTTGCAGCGTTTGGACCTTGACGAAGTAGGTGGTGATGGCTTTCAGTTGAACCCTAGGGAATAAGGTTCCTTGGGGTTTATAAAACCTTGGCTTTGGTTTCAGTTCCAGCTTTGCCAATCATAGCTTGAGAAAAACGCCAAATTGGAAAGATAAAGACGGTTTTCTGGAAAAGACTTGAAGAAGTCCTGCACTGTCTATGCTTCTGCATGTACACTAACTGGCTCGCCTAATGTTGTTGCAACAATTCCATTCTTTCCTCAAATGTTTGATGTCACTGACAGGCTCTTGGCTTGGCACTTGTCCTCAGTCATAAAGTCCTCAAATGCCTTGTCTGAGTCCCCTATTGCCGAGTGCGAGTCTGAATCCACAGTCAAGTTGTTGGAGTATTTGAATTTGATTTACTCTGTGTTGCAAAGGTTGGGTTTTATTTCCAGGCTCAAGTCACCAACTCGGCACCTCAAAAATTTGGAGGGAGGCACAGCTAGATTTTCTTTGTGACTTCAAGATTTGTGGTTTATTAAGCTACTCAACAGCTTCATATCAACAGATAAAACTACAAGATTAAAAAAATTTTTCAATAAGATTTTTTGTTTTGCTGGGTAGTTTCCAAAAGTTTTCAGTGTTTCAGTGAAAAGAGTAAATTTCATTTCAAACGGGGTCCTTGCTGGTTGCAAGTGTTGGCTCAGTCGGGACGTGCTAAAAACTGACTTGAGTCCAAGTCCAAGTCAGATATCAGCAATTGCAGATTGAGTAATAGATCAGTGTTACCATTCATATGGGGCCTGTGGTTTTCTTCTGAAGTTCAGTCGTGGATTCTTACCAGGATTATTTTTCTTCACAGAATGATTTTGACATGCCTGCCCTAGCCGTGCCAAATTACACCAAACCCAACCGGTATCCGTCGGCGGGGAAGTCGGTCACCAGCAAAAACTGGCGGACAAAGATACGACCAGATGAGCTCGTTGGTTCACATCTGGCCACAGAGGCAGGTTTTGAACAGGCTGTAGACCTGTAAAGTTGATCAGGATTGGCCAAACTATTAAAGCCCGTGAATTGTAGGGCTTGTGTCCTTGAGCAGGATACATAGCTGCAATTACTTATCTCCACCCAAGGGTGGTAGTCAAGGGCGTAGAGCTGGTCAGTAATAGATATATTGACAGTGGCGTAGGGCTCTTCTGTAAAATCTTCTGATTTTCCTAGAATGTACTCAAATCGCACCAGACTTTCCCTCAAAGGTGTGGAAGAGATGTACACCAAGTATATTCAAACATGCCATATAATTGATTACAGCTATAATTGAATTGGCACATGCTAAGTTATTGTGTTTTTTTAAACACACGTTCATGTTTCTGACTGAAAATATCAGTTCTGAAAAAAATCTCATTCACACCAAAATGACTTTTGCACCCCAGGCTGAGGAGTCAGAGGGAGGCGACAGTACGAGTAAACAGTCCAGGCACATTAACTGGACCAGCGTCCTGGCCCAAGCTGTGCAAAAGGGACAGTCCATGTGGCAGTCACACGAGGGCGCTAGCACCAGGGAGTCCAGTGGCAGGTCATCGCCCTCAGATGAGTGCAGCTTGCAGCGGTCCTACGGTGCCAGGTGCACGTTCTCCTACAATGACGAAGATAATTTGTCCAACCTTAACGGCAAGTATCGCACAGTAACAGGTTTACAAAAGTCGTTGGAAGCTTTTTGGTGTAGATGGGCAGAAGATGACTCCATAATGTGAATCAGTATGAACATAAATTGATTCATCATTCAGTGAAATTTTTACCAAGCTCCGAGTCCAGAATTTTTTCAAGAAACAACTTCCCTTGTTCTTAGTACACTTAGCTGTCCAGTCAATGCTAATGAAAAAAGACGATAATTCTTTTCTTTTAAAAATGTCTACCGACCTGCAATCACTGTAGACGATGACGAAGACCTGTTGGCGAACAGCCCGGATGATCGCCAAAGTGACAGCACCCACGCTCACCCATCGCAAGAGGTAACAGAGGCCCCCGAAGAGAACTGGGACGATGAACTCGAGCACATCTCCTGTTACGGTAAGTGCTCTCATGGAATCTTGACGGGCTCGACAACAGCGGTGCTCTCTTTTATTATTATCAATTTCTTTTGAAGAATGGGAAGTGCTGAAGGGGGTAAGGCGGGGCATGTGTGTAGCCATGGTGTTGATTGGGCATTGCAAAATAAAATACCATCCTGTTAATAGGCTCAGTACAGAATTGGCCAATGAAGACACTAATAATACATGCACAGTAATAGTCTTTGGGAATACTTCTGCACCCCTTTTTATTTTTATTATCTCTATGAACCATTTTCACCAACCCAATTTTCCAGTCTTTTTTTACTGTCCCGATTTAGCATTACTACACCATTTGGCCGTCCATACTTTTCTTTTAAATCCCCATCCTGTTGCAATTCCCCAGGGGCTGGTCCACCGTTCGCATTTTCAGGAGGGGGGTCATCTTTGACTTTCCAGTGCGGTACTCAAGAGTTTGCTGGGCTCCTTCACCAGGCTGTAATTTCATCATTAGCAGTCAGTTGCAACTTGCAAGTCAAGTCACGTCAGTAGTGGACATAAAACACGAGAAAATGGATTAAAGGGGAAAAATCATGTAATCCTTGACCTATCTTTGAAACTGGTTTGCCCGTGGATTGAAACGCATCTTTGGCTCGGGGTCTGCACAGCCCAACTTCAGCTCCAAGTCTCATGTGAACCCTAACAAGGGTGTTTCTTTCTTGGTTCCCCGTTACTTGCACACTGAGGTTGTGAGTTGCTTTGTGATTAATTGCATCGCACCTGTGTTCTAGCTCAAAATGTTTCTCCTTATAGCTAACCTGACAGAAAATCCCACATCCCATGATTCTCTTGCCTGGAGGAAAATTCTGAATGGTCTTTATTTCACTTATGTCAGGTTACGACAGAGTTTACAAACATCCAGTGAATGATCTCCACGAGCCCATGGGTCTGGAGCCCAACTTTGCATTCACCCCATCCGATGAACACGTCATGAATCTTCCTTGTCCCTGCATCAATTTTGACACCGAGGAGGGGCAGTTTGAAGACGCTGATGATTAGGCCGGAGAAAACAATCAAAAATTAGTGTCCTGATCCAAATCAATTACCAATTAATTGACAGGTGTTTGCATGTTGGCATCATCCATTATTTTTAGCACCGTGCAAAATTGCCAACAATTGCACCCTGAGATATTAGGCTTACAATAAGTGGAACCAATCCATCTATGCAGTTACTTGAGGGAGCGTGTACTCATAGCGGAAGACCTGGAAAGTCATTGTTCCAAACCAACCTTAGCATTAGTGTTTCAAAAACTGAGCCCCGTCCTCCAGACTTGCTGTCATTGTGGCTGAAGCTGTACACAGTAGCGTCCTCTCGATGTATGTGTGTAATTGAACTCACAACCCCCATGACATAAAGTTGTTCAAAGTTTAGAGTTGTTCAAAGTTTTAAGACTCTGATTATTATGAAAACGAAAGTTGGATCCAATTATTTTATTTTTACAAATTGGATAGTTTTAATGCTTGCAGTGTCCTGAAATGAAAGTTGGAGTACCATCAAAGTCGGTGAAATAGAATGTCTTTACAGGTTAATTCCCGAAGTCAAGTTGTCATAAAAATCACAGATTTTATAAAACAATGTAAATTTATTATTTCTGGTTGGTTCTCATCTAAGTAAGTCACCACATCAGTGGCGTAGCTCGGATTTTACTAGTGGTGAGGCATAAAGGCGGCACCAGCATCTTATGGGCGGCACCAGCTTTCAGTGGTGTGCTTTTTCAGGGCAAGTTTTTGTTAGCCTTGTTCAATATCCATTCATTCGGTTTTTTTTTAGTGGGGCGCACCTGAGGGGCACGGGAATTTGTGGGGGGGGATGTGCCTCCCCAGGCCCCCCTGTGGTTACCCAACAGCACCACATCAGCAAAAGGATTGTATTTATTCTTGAGCGGTAGATGGCAATTTGAGGTAACTTCATTCAGCGGCCTGACTTTAAAAGAGCTGAATATGGTCTTTGGTCAGTTCATTCTCTGTTGGCATTATTTTGTTTGAACTTTTGGCCATCTGTTAAAACGTGAAGAAATCTAGGAATCAATATCTGGCATACTGCACCAGCTATTGCCAGAGTGTCCGGCTCACATAGATGAGGACTGACCTAATCACAAAACTTGTATTGGTAAACTGTTTTCCTTTTAATAGGACTGCCAACAATCTCAACCATTTGAAGGAGAATATATCATTTGGCAATGACAATTTTATTTGAATGAAGCTGCATGTGTACGGTTGAGCACTTACACTAAACATCCCAGACCCTTGAAAAACCGACTGGGATTGTTCTGGAGGAGATTTTTTGCATTAGTAGGATAACAGGAAATGGCAACCCATCCACTGTCACTATCGCCCGAGGCTTGATGCCTCAAAGAATGTGGCAGTGATCTCCTGAGTGGGCATTGGAAGAATTGAATCAATTGAAGGTTCCTTGCCAAAATGATGAAAGTGCGAGAATGATGAAGCGTTTTTAGCTTGCATATTAACGGCATTTTCTGTTTGATTTCAATTTCCAGTGTTTTTCCTCCTCGAAGATAAGAATAAGTACTTGAGTTGTATTGACAGTTTTAAAAATTGAAGTAAGGCAAGGCTTTTACTTACGTCATGCTGCCGCCCTAGTGAGCATTTCACGTTTTCAGTATCACTATTTTAAAATATTTACCTGTATTTTTATATCATTGTCAGTAAAACTCAGGATTTTTCTAAACAATAAGCCCTATTTTTGTCAACATTTTGGTTTTATGTCAAATGTTGGAAATCCTTTTCATTATAAAGTTGATTTTTGCAATAGAATGGTTATAATTAATTCAAATGATATGTCTTGCTTTATTTGATGTCTTGTAAACTAACTGTTTTACCTGAGATCAAGCATGACAAGGTATAAACCAACTTTGAAACTTATCCCTTCAGAAAACTTGCAGAAGTGGGATAGTCGAAATCGTCAATTCTTCAGTGCTTCCAAATCGGCATTTCACTTCTGTTTCGATTATTTCTGCAACTGTTTCCGGCAGGATTTGTTCTGATGAAATTTTTATGTAATATTTGACTACCGACATATTAATAAAAGCGTTACTACATGAAGTCTTAATTTGATAGTATGTTATAGCCCACGATTCTCTTGTTTTAAAATCCTCATATAACTGCTTTTGTTTCCAAACCTAGTGCATGACTAACACAAGACATCCAAACGTGCGACTGGTCTATTTCTTCCGCCATGCTGTAGCATGAAAGCAATTTTTTGCAAAGGTTCTTTTTCTTTTATCAATATTCTAATCCCATTTTTAATTCACAAAAGGATTATTGGTTGATTTTAAAAACTTTTTTAAAAGTTACGTTCATTCCCACTTTTTCTCCCCGCCATTAACAGTACTTTTATTCGCTGAGAGTTCTTGACAACTTTAAGATACAATTTCCTGTCCTAAATCTTCCTGCGTGATTACACCTCAGGCTGGAAGCTCATAGACATAAAACAGGGCATCTAGATATAACTTGTCAAAAGGTTACATTTTGGTGAAACTGAGGATTCTAAGTATCCTAATTATAGGCCAACTTGTAAGAGGTGGTGTGGGCAGGAATCTCTGGATTTAACTTGACGATTTATGGGCCCAAGCTGTTTTATTTTTAAGAAATTCTACTGAAATTAATATTTTCTTCGAAGTTGAGCTAAAAGTGCGGCATCCACCTGTTTCTTTATATATGAAATATGCATTATTTGAGGTTGAAGTGAACCAACCCCCAATCATCAGCTTGCTGAAAGAAGTACATACACCGCTGGCGCACGGCTGTCATTTGAAGAAGAACCTGCCGTCATAAATTGACATCGATGCCCTGGTCGTACACGTCGCTACCGAAGCCCTGCTGAAGTATTTTGAATTCAGTGTTGGGGGTAAGTACATTGTCCGTTATAATTCGCACTATGTAGAAAGCGGATTTTCTCGAACCAAAAGAACGGTTCACAAGGCTTTAAAGAGGAGCTTTTGAAAATATGTATAATATCAGAATTTCGGAGTACTAACTCAACTGATTTCAGTCTGTTCATAAACTCACGGGTTCGCTGCTTTCATAAACGTCAATCGGTCCGTTAAAACCAATGTTGAAGACCATCGTTGGGTTGCATTGGCCTCGACCTGGATTCGGTGTGTACACCAACTCCTTGAATCGGCCTGAAGGAGACATGGTAGGCCTACTTTTATAAGGTTAGTAAAGATGTTGGGTGGGCTTCTATGACTCGTGCTCTCAGGCAGGGGAAAACAAACTGGTAAACACAAGCTGTTTTCAGAGAATAGGAGAGGAGTGAATATACTTGTAGGCCTACATAGTGTGGTAACGTACAGTTTCAGTGTTGTAGGATTTGTTATGCTAATTTGGGGAAAACGAGCTTTGGGGGAAACATAGTCTTAAGTTGAAATTGTGAGGGAAGAGAAATTAAAAGAAAAACTCGGAAAATGTTTAAAAAAAATAAAAAATAAAAAAAGAATGTGAAGCTTGGGAAACACTGAACATTGGGAATACTGTTTGAAAATTTTCAACAAAACTAGTCCAATAAAAACGAGAGCCTGCGTTACTGCAGCTGTTCGGGTACACGCTTAACATTGGATGTGGACTAACTTACGGCACGGCGACGTACAAGCGTCTTTGTCTTCTCTCATCTTGGCCCGCTCTGTGTCATGGACGCAAAGAACAGCATAACCGTTCAGGCGACTCGGGCTCTGCATGGAGGATGGCCAAGCTGCTGTCTGACGAAGGCTGCCGGCGTGTCTCGACAGGTTGTTTGAAGTTCGCCTGAAGCTTGAGGTTACAGCTATAGTGTCTATCAAAATTACAGATGGGATTATCCCAACTGTGCAACCATAGCGAAGAGATAATAGGGTGTCTCACAACATGTGTCAACGTTAATTCGGTCATGTCCGTAACTCGTCCAGCAGAATCTGGTTTTTGTTTGTGCTGTGGATGGAATGCCAACTAACATAATTTGGATTGATTCTGTTGGGTGTGAATTGCAAAATCTTTGAGTACGTTAAGAAATTGGCTGTTGGATTTTGCCGACTGTCGGCTGAACAGTTGGGGCGTAACTGTACGTGCAACAGTCTTTTCAATCTGGGCGTGCTCCACTATATCGGAGGCTTTTGAGAAGTCCGTCAGGACTACTGTTCCCACATTGTGCTTTTCCTCCCAAAAGGCACAAGATTAACCAGGTAATGAGTAGTTGATAAACCATTAACATTACTAATTATCCAGTCATATCCCGGATGTCAGTAAAACCCCAACTCCCTATAGGGTGTATGTAAAATTATATTGAAATCGGACGATTTGGGACAGCTAGGATTAGGCCTAAGGACCAAGCCTGCAATTTAGCAAAAATAGTGAAACCAGTCGTCTAGATCATTTACCCCCTAATCCGAGATGTCGATGCGCAGGTCGTAATGACTAGTCTTGTTTTGCATTGGTAACAAATTTAATCCGCCATGCCATTTTCGAGGATCGGAGTGTTGCAGATTTCTGATGAAAGTGAACATAAAAGGTTCTGTTGTTGTTGTTGTTTTTTTGGATTGTTTGTTTGTTTGTTTGTTTGTTTGTTGGGTTGTTGGGGTGTTTGTTTGTTTGTTTGTTTTTACCTTTTCAATCTCCAGTTCAATCCATTTTCTCCGTCTGAGCCATTTCTGATGGCTGTGGCAATCAAGTCTGTTCAGTTCTTGAATAAGTTTTTTGATACATGTGTGTTGTCAACCAGGGCTTATCGCTGTGGTGGGTAATCATCTTTTTAACAGGAAAATTCAAAGGCAACACCAAGCGTATTATAGAAAACATTTGCCTTTTGTTATGGCATACTACAACCCAAACATTCTTGCCAGTCCTGGTGATGAATCCATACTCGAAAACACGTATCCTTAAATCCACCAGGGGAGCCAAAAACTTGGTCTTAGGAGTACATGTATTTTTGATCTTATGGTGTGGATTAGGAAGTCACGTGTATCTTTGTCAAGATAAGCCTCTTTACATGAGAAAATCAACTCCCCGAAAAGGCTGGAACTCTCCAGAAAAAAATCTATTTCACCATAATGCCCTCTGGTCTGGGTTCAAGAACACCACTTTTAGTGTGTATGCGTGCAAATTTATGCAACTTAGCGTGCCATGAAGCCAATCGAAGCTGACTTTGCAAATTGTGGAACAGTCTGGGTCAAAAACGAGACCACGACTATTGCTTGATCCACGGGTCAGCTTATGCTATTTCTAAGAGTCATCCCCCACACAAGCGATTGGCTTCACTGATAAGTTTCCTGGGTTAAATGTTAACCCAAGGTGGGTGAAAACTGGAACTACACAGTAGTTTAGGTTGTTTCAACCCAATTTGGGTGATTGAAATGACTTTTTGGTTTGTTTTTAACCAAACAATGGCTAATATCCACTCATTTTGGAACAACGGCGTATTCAGTTACTTGAGAAACTTGCAAAGTCCCTTGTCGGATCGAAGCACATGTCCATGTTACCCCCTCCTCGTAATTCACAGAGCACTCGTACTCTTAGAAATACTAGTGGGTTTTTGGTCCCCTTTTGCTGTGCAAACAGATATCAAAGATCATTCTACAAATTCTTCACATCATTAATTCTTTTAAGCTTGTTTAGTCCCTATGTATATTTATCTTTCTAATATATTAATCAATTGTAAATATATAATTTGTAATCCAATCACTATAAATTTTCGAATTTCTGTATTGGAGATTTAATATACCAAAGAAAAAATTGTGGGTGAAAAATGAAACAGAAAGTAATTCTCATCCCCAAAATGGGTTAACACAGCCCATATTTGGGTAGTTGCAGTTTTCACCCTTCCTTGGGCTGAAATTTAACACAAGCAATTTTTCAGATTAAGATTTGGGTTTTAAGATGTTAAGATCCTTCCCTCAAAAGTTTTTCTTGATGTTTCCCAACGCTTCCAGAAGCAAAGAGAAACACGTTACCCTGCACCATTACCCTTACAGGACAAGCGCAACGTTTGTATGTCAACCGAGTAAACTCTGCATAAATAAGTTATGTGCTCAGATGCCAAGGAACTTGTTTTCTGCTGAAGAACTAACACTTTCGAAATCACACAGACAAACTGGATGACAAATCTTCGTATAAGATATAACGGTAATTTATTAGCGTATTTAAGTGCAATGTAAGGTACCTTTGGACAAACTACAAAACATCCATAAAAGAAAAGACAAATGCGCATTTCGAAACATAGCTTTTACCAAATTTGAATGCAAATCAAGGGAATAAATTTGTGCAGCATGCACCGTAAGGAAGATTAAAAAAACACAAATATTTAGTGATTGAATATGTTAGACCATACTGCCACGAGTAATCGAGAAACTTACAGAAATGGTAGTTATTGTAAACAAAGCTTACTTACAAGTCCCAATCAATTTTTTTTGTTCTGTCAATTCACTGTCTAATTTAGACATATAAAATCAATTACAAAGCATAATTATCTTTTCAAAAATATTTTTGGTCTTTCAACATAAAGAAAACGAAAATTAAGAATGCCAAAATTATGTACACATATCCCAAAACAAAGCGTAATTTTTCAGCCAAATATCCCGGTAAGACGGAATGAACGATGTTTTTCGTTTACACATTACTCTCTCCAACTTCTCTTACATCGATTACACCACTAGATCATAAGCGTCGGAAACATTTACAATATAGTCGTGGAAATTCACCCTGTAATGCCGCGGGACGTTTTCTGTAGAAGTAAACTCGGCGACGGGTTTCTTAAAATTAACACTGGTCGACTGAAATTTAAATATGGCGATAAAAGCTCACGTCTGTCTCGAGAACAATCGTCTTTTAAAGCCACTAAACTAAAATCTACGTTTTTTATCTTCATTGCGGAAGGTAATCAACATTATGAAAGACGTCTAGTGGTCGCAAATTTGCCCTGTCAAAGCCAACAACTTGCGTGATTCTTGTACAAATACTTGTTTGGTAGGAACAAAGACTGCTTATTTTCAGGTGTTTTGAAACATTATTTCCAAATTTTTCAAGACCATTGTTCTAGGCCTTATTCCATAAAAGTAAACCAAATTAAAGTTTTTAGCAAAGAAATTTATAGCCATCCTGTTAATAGTATGTGCAAAAGGCTATAAGGTATTTGATTTTTATAAACATTACCACTTACAAGCACAATTATAAACTGCTCACGGTTACTTCAGCATTCAATGTTGTTTTTACAATACAGTAGCAACAGCCATTTTACATAAATCTCAAAAAGTCATTATCTAAAGAACCAAAGAATGAAGAAAAAAACTGAAATGGTATGCATAGTTTCGATGTTTGATTTAAGTACATATGAATAATAAAAAATGTACTACTTGTATCCTCAGTATTAGACAAAATCTAGCCTACTTTTTACGGAATGAGCAATATTGTCGCTTAAGCAGCGATGGATGGACCATGAGTCATGTCAAGTAGGGAGGCATAAACCAAGAGCTAACAATTAGCACGCCATAGGCACACTATTACTATGGAGCCGTGTCCTAATCACTTGGCTGTGGCCTGAATTTACATACAGGTCTATGACAGTGGCTGCAGCCTCTTGCCATTGACTCGTGTGTAATTTCAAGCCGCAGTCAAGTAATTATGAGACAGCATTAGTTCGTCACCGAGTCACAGTAAATGGCTGTAACTTAGGTCTGCAATTGGTCCAGTACCCTAATTGTGCAACAACAGTATGTGCACCCATGAGAACGACGCAATAGAGGGGTCCCAATACGATGCTTTTAGCGTTGATCTGCGCACTTCTGCGTTTGAAAACGAGGCTGTATGTGTCAGCTTCAGTTCTTAATACGATCAGACGATTGAAAGGAGTCAAGACACAAAATACATAAAGGTATGTTAAATTCAGACATTTCAGGCGGCACATTTTTGTGGAAGAGTCTTTCAGGATGACTCGACACGTTTGAACTAAGGTACCTGCGATGGTAGTGTATCTTGTGCAGTGGGCGTGGCTTAAACTGAAGTGGCGTCACACTTACGAACCGGATACTGCATGTACTGTGTGGACTCCGCGGGCGCGCGCGCGATGAAGTTCAACACAGAGAGCCTCGGTTTCGATGCAGATATGCGCAAAGGGAGCTAATGTGAAACCCTCAATACGGTGACCCAGATTTGGTCCACGTACACAACCAAATATAACTCAATCGCACGTTATTTTCTCCTAATATTGGAATATGAGAGACGTTACTTCCATTTATACGCAAACAAAAGACAATCATGCAGTTAAACCTGCATGTTATGGCCAGTGAGTAAGTGGCTAATGGAATGCGACTAGAAGGTCAAAATGACCACAACACGGTACGCTTTGGATTTCCAAAATCAACAAAAATGTCGCTGTTTTCATCGGAGAGTTTTGTAATGTATAGTCGCTTTTACAAATCATTAGTATGGTCGTAAAAAAACTCCTAGTCCACTACAAATCGTTTCTAGAACTCCCATAGAGTACTCTTTTTCATCTCTGTTCCCGTTGCTCTCATCTCTCCATGCTGTTTGCCCTCCAGCAGTTTCCCGTTGGAAGCGCGGATCAGGAACTGCGACCTCTTCATAAACTCCAAGGTGAACTTCTCGGGGGCGCCCTCACTCAACGTGTAGTTGCCTTCGCCGTCCACGGTCCATGCTGTGTTGGGATCGCGGCCTGGATCCAAATAGACGGTGAGTAAAACCAAAACGGTGACTTAAAGGACATAATAATCAAGATGCGATTAAAGACTTCATGACAAGATACACGAGTATTTTGGGCAATTTCAATGTTTCTTTTAAAGTATTATGTGCTGTGTACTGAAGAAACGCCCAAAACAAATCGAAACCAAACCAAAAGCACCAAAAGTATTGAAACGTGGACTCTGCCCAAAGATGGTTCAATTTAATTTGTGCATAATTTTTACTTACAGAAATGCTTTCCTACCAGTGCTTAATCTAGATTAAAATTTGATAATTTAATTTAAAATCCACTGCAACCAAAATGTACCTATGACCATGACAGTTGTTACACTGTCACAAGATATACGACAGAAGACTGCATATTAGGTCTACACGGCCCAAATACATTTTTTAAGAATCAGTTGCATGACTCTCGAAATCATGGGTAATGCTGGCTGCTCGAGACTGAGATCCCCTCACCTCTGAAGATGTAGGTCCCGTCGTTTTCGTACGACACCTGGATGACCTCGTTGTCCACTGTTGTCCGGTTACACTCGAAGTTCTTCCTCAGACCGATGAAGCCGTGCTCCCCCTTCAGCACCAGGTTGGGCCGGTTGCTCAGCTTGAAACGGAAGGTCTCGGGCTTGCCCACCTCACTGCCGGAGGCCACCAGAGGCCCACTGCTCTTGATGCCCACAAACTTGCCATTGGCCTTAGCCTTGAGCGCCACAGTGCCGGCCTCCAGCCCGTCGTATACCAGTTCGAATAAGCAGGCATTGCTCCTGCGATTGGACGGTGTAAAAATCAACTTGTAAATAAGAGAAACACTAATGATAAATGGCTGAATTCAACACCAAAGTGAAGCCCAGCCCAACAATATGACTGACATATTTGGGTCAATCCCCTTTTCATCCTTATTTTCACGAGCATGAAAAGCGGTCAAAATAACCTCTTCCCCTGGCCCAACAGTTGGTACCCTCGTGACAATCATAACAAGAACACGGATGTTACCGTTCGACCTTGTCTTTTGGTGTGCACTGTGCACCAGTAAGCATCGCCAGGATGTTTTTTTTTTCGGGGGAAGGGGAAACGTTTGCGGGGGGGGGGGCAAAGCACTCAACAACGAACTGATAAACCTTCCATTCTTAATTTCCTTTCAACAGAGGGCGGTGTAACTGTCCACGGCAGTCGGGTGAATTAATACCGAATTAGGGGCGTTTACATTCACCTTAATTAGAGGGAACTGGTAATGTTTAATTACATAGGTAAATACTTTGGCCAGATCAAGACATGATTGGAATGAATTTTCTGACCCTCATTAAACATAACTGATCCATCATTTAACTCATTAACTACGAACTAACAGGAAACAAAATTATACATATTGACCAGATACATGTACATATTGTCTACGACGGTATGACAGAAATTTCACCTACAAGTCCGACTGCAAGAGCGTGTTGTCTGTCTTCATAGCGAAGAGTTAGAAATTTTCACTTCAGACACCCAGTATATTTATCTTGACAATACAACCTGTTTTCTAGGCATTAAGCTTTTTCCGGTTACCCACGCTGTAGGCTTACTTGGATTTGCCATTATTGAGAATGTCTTGCTTGCCAGAGTCCATGGACCAGTAGTTACCGTTGCTGCTACGGACGGCCCACTCGTTAGTCTTTCCGGGGGCACATTCTAGCTGGAAGGTCTCGGTATCTGTCTCCTCGTGCTGGTTGGCTGAAACGTGGATATCTGTGTGAAAAAAAAATGAGGCAGAAATATCATCTTTAATGGTCCTTTCTCTAAACTGGTCCAATGCTATGATCGTGGCAGTGGTATGTTGGCCGAACTCATTCTCAACTCTCTCGGGAAATGAATTCGAATGAACATCCCCTAGGTTAGAATGTGGAGACATTCGTCCAATGTTGAGACACCACACGGTGTTCGAGACCATGTTATTTTCACCGTGTGTAGTTTTTGCTGCGCACAAAAACAATCAAGCTATTGCCCGTTTAAGAGGAAGCATTTAGGGGGCACTTCTCTTTTTCGAAATGGCCGCAAGATGATTCACTATATAAAAAAAATCATATCTGTAGTGTAAATATTGTGAAATTATTGCATCAAACTTCCCCATGGACTTTTAATAGAGCATAACATGTACCTGTTATAGGGGAAAATAAATGTGCCTCATGCAAAAAGTTCTCGAGTAGGCGGTCTGGTAAACACACGCCCTGTTGCAAATAGTCTAAAATTCCGCCAACAAAACCAATTAATTTGAATTCGAAACCCATCAAACTCAGTTGTTTGGAAGTCCCACACAGAGCTCAAAATAAACAGAGTGTCACTTCACCTGACACCCCCAACTGTCACCTTGTCTTAATGTCACCTTGACGCCATTCTAACCAGGCATCATTACCGATTTCCTTGTCCCAAGAAGATTGGCTTTGTCGCCCGGGGAACTTTCACCAGACGTGCAAGACAAAGAAGGCTTCATTCTGCGTCCACGTACCAGTCGCTATTAAATTTTAGGGTTGTTGTGCACGTGGTGATTATGCCGCCGAGCATTTTTTCGGGTCTGTGAATCATTACCATAGGCTATTCTGCATGGATCAGTTTGAGTTGGAGTGAGAACAGAGTGAAATCTGTACGGTAATCGACCCGCGGTGTTGAGAAAAGTAATCGCTATCAAAGAATGAAACTGGATACAGAAATGTGCAAAGTGGAAACCTCAAAGGCCAAGGGAAAAACACAAAAGACGATTCAGTCGGCCCTTCTTCCTGTGACTATGGGAGGAGAGATCATTCATATCTATTCTTGTGATCACTCCTATGTAATAAATTCGTTTACGCTTCCACATCAAGTGTACACGTGCACATTGAAAACCAGCCAGTAACCGATACAAGAGATCCCCCGACAGTCCCAATTTCTCCAATTCCAATATGATTTTACGTACACTCTAGGGGCCTAGGGGCCAATATTCATTTGATGTCAGAAATGAAGTTGGGGTAACTGTCAGTATTTTTTTTCACTCCCGAACACTTGTGAGGTCATGTCTGAAATCAAAACAAGAAGGATCCTTGACATTATCGACAACCCTTTTGCTGCTATTTTGCCATCCACATAGCTGGCTTTGTTTGTGGACAATCGTTCTTTGTTTGTAGAAATTGATTATTTATTTATTCTGGTGAACCACAAATTTCAAGGCCTTCAGTAAATACAAAGTCGTGGGACGTATAGATTGTTCAATGTCTCTGATTTTCAGTCCCGTGATACAAAAGTAATAAATTTTGCGTGAATTCGAAGATTGTAATAAATGGAAGGCGCATCGGAGACATTTTGAGGGCGTGGTGATTACAGTTAAACCACAACACCGGTTTACCTATAGAAATGTATTGTCATCTGATTTAGTTGGGAGTTGCTCAAAACGAAAGAGAAAAGTTCTGACACATATTGAAATGTTTAAAAAGGTTTTGCTAATGTTTACAAGGGTTTTGCTATTTATCCGTTAACCATAATGTAAACACCAATCCCAGCGTCTTGCTTTGACCACATCTCTCTTCCAAGTTTCACCGCAAACAACAGCTACACAATGTTTAGTAATATAGTCTTTTTCTTGCGATTTAGAGTACACGTGGACTCCAACAGCAATTGCTCCAACCATAGAGCTATAGCTCTACCAATGTTCCAAACTCTAGTTCAGGGGTAATCACTTGGCGCCCTTTGAGCTAAAGATAATCTAGATAATTAAGATAATTATAGGAATTCGGAACACGACAAGCGTTGCTTCCACTCCCGTTCGGAACCTGCCGAAATGCTCCAAGCTTTCGTATCAGTCACTCAACTAGACAGACTCCGGCTGCGCCAATGCAATATGGTCGAGTGGTTAGTACCACAGTGGTGGCTTGGGAGATTAAAATATTTATTGCTTCACTTAGAATTATAATATTGCGTGGGTTAATGGTCACATGTACATGTATACGTATATGTTTGTCTGTCCCATGAGTATCGTATTATTTGTCCGTCAAGGTCTCCTCATTCCGATGATATAGTTGTGTAGGGTTTATGTAGAATACAGAGATCGAAATACCCGAATGTACTAAAAAAAACTCCAAGGGCCCAAGTTGGAAACCAAAAATTCCAACACTGCTTGTTTTGTTTTCATTTTCAAAGATTTGTGCCATAGCTGAGTTGTTACAATCTGTGATAAATCGTTAACTGGTTGTGTATGATGGCGGAGGTATACAATGTACATGTAATGCTATAGTAAATGATGCCACAAAACCCCATACTGAGTATTGTTGATCTACGAGGGGTCTCATTTAGCAGGGTGACTCAGAAAATATGACGGGCTTAATTTCATTAAATGCCATTTGTGCACTTTGGTGGCATCTCAAACTTTCCTACAGTGCATCTCATTTTGCGCAAACGAATTGTCTGTGCATGCAACATGCTCGACACGACTGAAGGTCTGTAGCTTTATTTTGGGTTGGTTAACCAGGGCGTCACTATGGCAGAACAGAGGGTGAGATCGTCGATCCTGTTTGTCAACTCAAGATAAGATAAGATATAGTTACAAGTTTGCAAACACAAAACTAAACACTCTTTCGTAGCATACAAATAAGCTTCCAGTTTTGTCAGACCTCCATAGAGTTAGGCCGGCACACTTTTTTCAAGTTTGTGCCAAGCAAATTTGACATTCCGAACGTCCGCTGTCCTTGAACCGCTTTAATCTGCATAGCGCCACCCCACCAAAAAAGCACAAAGGAAGTACAGGTACCATTCCCGGTCTCCGGAACACTACCCCAGTACAGGAAGTTCTCGCTTAACTTAAATCCTAACCGGGACAAAACCCGGATTCTAGTCCAAAGAGATTCAACCACAGGATTATTCCAAACAGGAAAGATGCCACATGTAAACTGGCAACACGATAGTACATGTATGTTACAAAATTTCCTTGTTGGCACGGATAGTGGCTGTTTTGTTTTTCCTAAATTCCGGCTGAATCCAATCCAAAGAGGAAATATCAAACATATTGTTCAATCAGAAGATACAGCTGTAATATAACTGCATAAATCCTCGAGGATACCATTTCTTCTGGCCATTTTCTAATCCATGAACTGCCCTAGCTCTAGTAGTAGTAACGTGACCCGAGGGTCTATTGCATCGCAGATACCGTACATACGCGCCTTGTGCACCGCAGCGGAAAACGTGGATATTATGTAAATTTAAGCAAAATATCACCTACCACACACCTCGCAAGCAATATGGTATTCAGGCTTCAGCTTGTGAGCGGGAAATAGCATGGATAAATTTTTCTGAAAACATGATCCCCAATTTTTTGTGTGTAAACCTTGATTCTAGTGCTGGCTTCAGGGGTATAGGTGCCACCATCATTCCCCTGCGTGAATGCAATAGCGTTTCCTACAACAAATAGGCCCTATTTTTTTCACGTAGAATGGCATGGCTTGACGGACCTGAATAAGAGAAGAAATAAAGGGTGATGGCATGGGGCTACTTGTCACCTGTTAACAGCATCTTTGCATTATTTTGGAAGTCCATTCAATATGACAATGCACCGTCGCTTGATAATTAATGACACTCACTGTCTGTGCATTTTGGATTTCATTCGTATCATGGAGGAAGGATGTTCGTATACAGTATAACGGGCGGCAAAAACGCACTTGGAGCAGAAGTTCAATTGATTCTCTTTTCCTACAATACACAGCGTAATATTTGAGGAGCCAAATGCGAAATCAAATTTCCAGTGGGACTGCAAGAATTTCTTATGCGGTTTTCCTTCCCACATGCCAATGCAATAAGCAATGACCAACAACCTTTTCATGCGTGACGGGTCATCGACAATCCACGGATGCATTCCGGTTGAAAAATCGCTGTATACTAATGTGCATGTACATGTACATTCAAAAACGGCGTCGCACAGAGCGAGTCAAGGGAAGGATGTCTTCTTTTTTTCTTATTTGAGACGACTTTCATCAACAGTTATTATGTTAAAGTTGTGTATTGAATCGTGGCTACCGTGTAAGATGTATTAAATCTTCATCCCAAAGTATTATGTTAGAAAAATTGTTATAGTATTTATAGTACCTAATACATGTCATGGACTGACCCAAATTATCATAGGCGTCCCTTTCAGGATTATGTGAAAATGTATGTTTACTTTAAGAGATATGGATAATATTTCCATGAGAATAACACACGTGCAGACGGTGTGCAGCACAGCCACGTTTTCAAAGTTTCATATTGAACAGCGTATCAACTTCGACAAAATTTCGTAGTAGTTTGAGACTGAATACAAGCCAATGAGAGAACGCAAGAGCAAATCAATGATGAAACTTTGTAAACGGAGTGATGTTACCAAAATAACAATTTACAACATCTATTTAGGGACAGATATCTTATGTCAATGACGTTGAACACAGAGGTTATCGTGGTTCGTAATGTCCTAAACATGTAAAAGAATGTAGGTTTACAACGAGTATTAAAAAACTGGTATACTTCAATATCAGAAAAGCATCTGTACAACATGTTATGCGCCCTATTTCTGGATCAGAATCGAATATAAACGAGTTACCAGACAAGGGTTATCGCAATAAAAGCAAGACGTGAACGAGGTAGGTCAATACAGTGCATGAATATTAAAAGAGGGCAGGGGTGAGAAGTAACACGTGTGACCAATCGTTGTATTCTGACACACAATCGATACAAATCACAAGTCTGTGGCGGGTGTATCCCCAATTGACAACATTGTTCCCTCATACGACATGCTTGTATGGCTTTATTCCGTGTTTACACAGCAGGTCGTAGGCCACACAATCTGCTATTATTAAACGAGTTTGTCGGGCATGATCTTTATACTTTATTGATTTGCATAAAAGGACCCATATTGTTCTAATTACTTAGGTCATCAAACGTAGGTTGCTGCGAACAACTTCCTCTGCCTAGAGATGGATGTTTTCTTTGAAAGCAAGTCAGTTTCCGTATTTTATCAGAAAACATGTAAGGTTTCCTGTGGGCTTTCTCACTATCATTTGCCCACCCAACAACGGAGCTATCTCAAGATAAGTATGTCTATACGTATAGTCGTGGGTTGGAAGTAAATATCCAGTCTCCCCCTATTCTTTATTGGCATTAAATGATGTTGGTTCGGGCCCTTTGGTGACATTTTCCTGTTGCTTGGTAACCAGCGCCTGATCTGCAGTTTTAACTGTTTGGTAAACATTGAAAAGGCATTCCCAGGCACGTAAACTCAGAAACACAACATCTGTTTGCGTCATTACCTTTTTCTATAAATGCCAGCGCTATTTCGCGAAAAAATTCTTTTTTGAATTTTCACAAGAATTTGAAAAGCTACAATAGCCCTGGCCATCTTTCTTCCTGCTGGGCCACCTGCAACAGGATAATTTCCTGCGTCCTGGTACGACAACGCCAGACCTCAATTCACATCCTCATTGGCTGGAGAGTTGAACTACTTTTTCCCGTAAAAAAACACGCCAAGAGAAAAGAGCCGGTGTGCCCAAAGACCTTGGCCGTGTTACCCCAGCACGCAATCTTTTTAAGAGGCAGCAATAACAAAGCTCCAGTCCCCACACAATATAATCACATCACGTTTTCGTCTTCCCGCTGTAGGCTGCATGAACGTCCCTTAAATTGCGTATCTATACACCCATAAGAATATCGTTATCATCGTGCAGCTCGAGGGAATTAAACTCGCATGCCGCGACCTCACCGGAAGGTCACAGACAGCCGTAGACTGAACATGTCCCAAGCTAAATTTCAAAACCACGCTTGATTTTCCCCTTTTCCCCATGCAGAAGAGAAGTCAACTGATTTATGGATTCACAAGGCTTACACACTACGTTGCGGAAGCATGTTAGAGCACCAATGATTAGGTGCGTCCTGCAAATGCTCTCGTTGTGGTAAAGTTGCGTCACTCCGCTATATAACACTGCAGTTCAACGTTAGACAACTTCATTTGTTTAAAAAATCACGAACCGTTTACTAATTACATATATAGGCCAACTGTGCGATTTCCTTTGACAGAATTGCCCAGTTCGATTGGCAAGCGCTGAATTACCACAAAAGGTGTTCTACAATTTCTGAAACTATATAAACTTCCTGTATCAAGTTGGCACAATAGGACCAAAGTTTATAATCCATGAGAGATGAAGTAGGTTATCAACGACCAACTGATATAATGAGGTCAAAAGAAATGAATTCGAGCCTTTCCTGTCTAAAGGTCTGATCCATTACCACTGGCGCCCCTGGGATATTGCAACCTTTGATATTTCACTGACTTCAAGATTTCTCCAACGCATAACACTAAAAAAAATATGACTGAAAATATCATGAATCGGCCTCCTACATGACGCATAGGCCTGATGAGCAGGGGAATGTCAGACCTAGTTTGATTTTAAAACGAGGAACAGTGTTGCCAGTAATCCTAATATCACTTTACAAATATGCGGACGGACCGAATGAGTCATGTCAGTGTTATCCCCACGTCAGACATAGTGTCGAGGTTTGCTGCGCACTGTATGTTTATATAATATTCATGTATCCAGCAATTCTTATCTTGTTATGAAAATAATCTAATAAAAAGTGCAACTGCAAGGCGCTTACTGCAGGATCTGCTATGCTGCCACAAGAGATTTGCTATTAATGCGAAAACCGGAGGGGAAGCCGTAGTCATGAGTGCGTATATTTACTCTCAGCAAACACCGCCGCGGATGCACGACTTCAAGAGCTGTGTCTTTTTATTTTGTTCATTGCACGCTATGTTCACACACAGGACGGTTGCGTCTCATGCGTGTTTCTGCAAAGTACAAAACCGGCACTCGAGATAATACAAACAGTTCCTCCGGTGATTTCAAACGAGCCACTTCAGAAAAATGAAACCATGTAGACAGTCCAATCACAGTAAAATTTCGTCAGTTTTAAGCTAAAAATGCAAGAATTTCAAAGGGGAGATCATTTCTTTTATATGCTGTTCATCTGGAATCCGCCTTATTTTTATGCTCTTGCTAAATCAGTACTTAATCAAGCGCACGTGCTTCTTCTGCCCCGACAGTCCCAAATCCTCCAATTTCAGCATGATTTTACATACACCCTAGGGGGTTACGGAAGACCTTTGTTACGTGCCAAAATACTGGTGAAAAAGCCTCATCTTTTTGTCCACAATAACGTTTCATCTGACGCAGTCTTTATATGAAAAAGCATTCTAAATCAACACCAAGAATGGTCTAATGTTATCCCATTTCCATCAGACGTCAAACACTGAGTAACGTCTAAAAAGAAATCATTTTATAGTAGAGATTAACTTTAACCGGAAGCCAGGATCGCATAACAGTAATCTACAACGCGGCGAGTCCCTTCTAAATTACCCTCCTCCTTTGAAAAAAATATATTTCCAGTCACGTGATAAACGTGGGAAAGAAGGGGGGGGGGAGATTCCCTCCATTGTCGAATCAAAATGGTGGAAGGACACAACAGAACCTACACATGCTAGGACACGCATGCCATGACACACATCACAATCCGTATTATTACATCCCAACTTCACACGGACGTATGGGAACGTACAGGCCTTTCAAAAACTTAAGTCACCAGAACAATGCACAAAACGAATACGGTCATAAGTAATCCAAGCATTGTTCGATATTTTCTATAGAAATTGGTTATTTACAAAGTCTGGGACTGGTAGTCGGGGAACCAAAGGAACACAATAGAGCCCTTGACGAAATGAAGAGCTTTATCCTAGCTGCCCAAATATGGCAAGAAATATCTCGATCAGGTTTGACCCGTGCAAGTAGAAAAGCGTATCGGACAAGCCGTGAAACTGTTGAGTATTTAGTTGACAATGGCGCTACATATAGAGTGATACTTTTCTGGTATTTCCAAAATTCCAAGTTTAATGCGTACACCGTACTTGTTTAAATAACCCCGTCGATGCATGTCAAGATCTGCCCCGGGGCTTGGTTCAAACAATCGAGGTGGCATACAATTCGTGGAATCACACTGCTGACTGTTGAACAACAAATGTGGATTGTAAGATCACAGAGCTGGTAACAAGCAAGTCGCTGTTCCAGGTTGTCGTTACACACTTCTGCTAACAGTTCAACCATGGAGGAATTAATTCCTCCATGGTTTGCCCACAAACCCTTAAAAACCGCGAACAAAATTTCCGTCAAAGAACTGTCCTATACAGAAACTCGTATTGAAAGTCTTACTCTTAGGTCCAAAAAAGACAGAAAAATCACGACTTATAATAAAATGAGAGCTATATAGCTATAAATCAGATACCTTCATTTCTTATGGCTCCATGGCTTGCCTAATAGCCAAATGACAAAAAAGATGTTCAAATTGAACGGAGGATGGGTGTTCCAAAACACCGCCTCATTTCCTATAGCCCATTCAATATGAGGCGGTCGTACAATCATAGAGCATCTCTTCAAGGACAGTATTAACATAGTGTAGACTGAGCAAGGCCACAAGTCGGAACCAGCCTAACAAACAGTATAAAAGCAGTCATTAACTCACTCAGACGTCGTCGCCATTATTTGCTGCTACTTTCATATTAGTGAGAGCTTATTATATCAAATAATGGAGGTGAAACATAATGTATCTCAACAGAATTACACTGGATCGCTGAAAGTAAGGTCATCATTTCTGAAACTATCATTTAAATTTACGAATCTCTGTTATGGACCCATGTTAATGTTGAGAAAGTATAAACCAATGTGAAGCATGCAGTCCACAGCAACCTATACGTCTGTATACTTTATTAATACATCCTGGTCCGGAGTTGATTTGCCTTTGAATGAAATCCATTCATAGGATACACCCAAGAACTGTGGGTTCGGGGTTCGTCGTCCGCCGCGACCCGTGAGCTCCATATTCATAAGATACCGATACTCATAGATAATCTAGTAACATGACTAGGGAGGGAGCGAGATAAATTTGCCTAAAAATCAAGATTGTCCTGAAAAATTTTATTTCCTCTCCACGTACCTCCGGAGTATTTGAGCTTCTTACCTTGTTTCATGGATACGATTTTGTTGTTGCTCAGGTTATAGAAAATACCCTGAGGGTAGCTGTCCTCCAGCTTGAAGAGTGCCTCCTTGCCCACCGTTCCTTTCCTAGTCATCAGCTCACCGTCTTTGCCGCCAACCGACAGGTACTTGCCACCGTTCTTGAAGGCGAGGTGCTCGCCGTGGAACTCTAAGGCAAAGAGGGCATCCCCGGACTTGTCGGCAGACAAGGAGCCGTCGGCGTTAAGGAAGCGGTCGTCGGCGGCCTGGATGAGGTACTGGCTGGCTGCCGCGTCCCAGATTAGGGTCATGACAGCGTCCCCGCCCCAGGGGATGTTCTCGTTGAAGAGGAGCCGTTCCCTCTCCAGGTCCAGGTGGGCAAACTGCTGGCGCTGGACGCTGAAGATATTCACCTGGGGGTGGATGGCTAGCTGGATGCTCCAGGTCTCTGAGGTCCCGACCGACTTGGCCTTGCACGTGGGCTCGGCCCCGGCGCTCAGGTAGTCCAGCGTCTCGGCCTTGATGGCGAACTTGCCGTCACCCTGCGGCTCCACCCGGAACTTCTGCATGAGGTCCGGGCTGGTCTCGTCATCCATCTTCTCCGCCGTCACCTTACCGTACTTGTCATAGGTCAGGCGGTACACGGTGATAAGGCCAGACTTGGATGCCTTGTTGGACAGGAAGAAGAGTTTGCCGTCTGCGGTGGCGGGGTTGAGGGTCCATACTTGTTTGCTCTTCAGCGAGGTCCCGTTGACGTTCACCGTGCCCAGTTCCGTCGTCAAGTACTTCTTGGAAGAGGCGCTGATCAGCCCCACGTCAAACTGCAGCACGTCGCCTCCACTCGCGGTTCCGTTGGCCGCCGACATGGCTAGAAATGGAATGTCTTCGTCTTACACAAGTTACAGTGCAGTAAATCACACAAGTGTGCCAATGCAGCCTTCGCAACTCACTCTACTAGCGCCGAGCACCAAGCTTAGTTTCACCGAGGTTCGTAAAAAAATGGCTCTCCTCAGCTCACTGCTTTTGCGTTTACTGTTCACTAAACGGACAGGCCTTGCACAGTAATCAGATATTCGCGTTCAACTTACGTGCTCCGACAGTGAGTCAGCTTGTGCTGCTGCCGGTAAAGCCCTGCTGTGGGTTCACCCGGCCCACAGATCGACAGGAAACAGTTTGGTGACTGTGTGATAAAGGGCGTTGGTTGGCACCGTCACGTGACCAGTACCGCTACCAGCGTACCACACACACAAAGTTCTCGTTGTAATCGGTGCACAGTAAAACCGCAGGGGGGCCAGGCAGTCGGGTGCCCGCAAAGATTTTGCACCCGTGTGAGCTCAGAATTCCGCATTGACTTGCATTCGTATTGTACATGTACATGTACAGTGTACACGTGTGTTTCAGTGCACGACTAGTTACATACACACTTGTGCAACACACGAACTCAGTGTAGGATGAGCCCTGTCTTATGCTAATACTCATTCGTAGACCAATAGCAGTCCAGTTTACGTCATATAGTGATAGTCATGCGTGACTGGCTATGACACTTCGATTCAGCGCCTCGATGATTAACATGAGAATGGTAGCATCGATCAGTACATTTGCATGTAAGCTGAGCCCAATACTAACATGGAAATACGAACCACTTGCTTGAATTACAAAATTTAATCAGAATGGGTAAAGCAATAAAAAGAAACGTTTTTGAAAGATCAGACCAACATAGCAGAGAGTGTGCCGGAAACTCTGGGAAACACAATTACGATAATATTAGATTTGTCCGGTATTTGTACATTGGAAAGAGAGGGAAGGTTTTAAAGGAAATAAAAGTAAACTTATGCAGTTGGACAAGAACGAAATCAAAGCAACGAAAAGTAGCCATACAGATTGCAGACATTAAAGTTTCGGAATGCACCGAGAGGCCCATATATACAGCTCTGGGGGATTTACATAGAAGTGACAAAGTTTGACATTTATTTTCTGTTTTCGAAATGATAGTGGGAAAGGGGCCCAAATTTGCTAAGTCACGGAAACGGTTGTCAGTGCGACGAGACCACAATACGTCAAGTAAAAAATTGAAACGCTTGACATGATTTACTCGTCTGCTATTCACCATTCCTAGAAAAAAAATCTGTATTGGAATTGTTTTAAGAAAAACCTTCAAAATGCACCTGTGTCTCAGTTAACCTCAATTTTAATATGTGTTTCACTATTTCAAAGGCCTACTTTGTCACCTGTATTTCTATATTTATGAGCAAAACTCCAATGTCATCCAAGGATGCAAACCTCGATGTTGCATCGATTTGTACACAGTAACTCAGCTTTTTAAGTACTTGTTTAATTTTCTATCCTTTAGTAATTCATTGTTGTTTAATTACATGCCAGTTAGCGAGCTATCTTTACCCTTTCTGAGAAACGATTTCATTGATTAAATTCTGGGTTTACAATTGCATAAGAAAACCTATGCACACAACTATGGCCTCCCTGGATGACATCACGACAACAGCGCCCCCAATTGTCTTAGAAAACATGGATAATTTTAAGTTTATTAAAAAGTGCATCTTTCAAAGCGTTTAACCACATAGGGATGAAAATAGTTTTCATACATTGAAGAAGAGTATACAGCTATAATAAAATCGTGTCTAAGAGAAATCACTGCAGCTACACTTTAAAGTTCTGTCGGAATGCTTGCAGCTGGCAGCAGGCTGGTCTGTTAGTAATGTAGCTTTAGGGGTTGGCTTGCGAAAATCTGGCAGAATTCGCTAGAGGTTTAAACTGCTGGAGGAACATGGAAGAAAACCCATATGATTATAAATAGATGGATATATTCACGGTTTAAGAGACTTCTTAGTCCCGT